GCCAGCTGCGCTGCGAGTCTGTCCTTCTGCGTCGGCAAAGTGGCCTTTTTGAAGGAGGGCCAGGGACTCAAACCCGGCACGAGATACGCTGCCATGGCGCTCTCGAGCCTGGGGATTCCCTTAGCAACCATCTGTCTCCCTTCCACTCTAGTGAATGGGAGATACGCTTTAGCCGGCGAACGCGCCGCTAAAGGTGCCTCCCATGAGCCTTCAACGTACTTACTGAGAGAGGGCATGGCTGGAGCCAGTGGCTCTGTCGCCCTTCTCGGCCAAGAATAAGGTCTGCCCTCCATCATACCCACCTCCGCAGTGGGGGGAATGGGGGGCAGCACTATCTCTAGATGTCTAGCAGCCCTCTCAATGAGCCCAGGAAAGTCTGAGCGCAGAGAGGCTGCCGCAAAGGACAGGGCTACTGATTTCTCAGAGCCCGTGTCGTCATCGCCCAGGGAGTTACAAGACCTCTCACTCTCCAAAGGAAAGGGGGTCTTGAAAGTCTAGGTCAGAGGGACGGATTGTTCCACAGGAATATCCATCTCATCCCCATAATCCCTGTCTTCCTCAGAGTCGGCGCCCTCAGATGATGCCTCAGAAGCTGAGGCTAAGACCGATAGCACATCCTCTAAGGGGATATCCTCCCTAAAAAACGCCCAGCGCTGCTTCCTCTCCTTCAATGGAAGGAGGGCGCAGCTGGCGCAAATAGGGGGATCGCTGATTCCGTCCTTGGCGTGCTGTGAACCCAAACACACGAAACAAAGGTCGTGGGAGTCCGCAGCCGCCATAGAGGAACAGCGACATTGAGCTCTGAAAATAGCTTTTGGGGGTGGAAAATCTCCTGGTGTGCTCATTTTAGGACGACGTCGAGAACTGGAAATCGACTGCGCTATCCTCGTCCTGAGTCTTCGTCTCTTCTTGGCTTCTTCAGTCTAGTCCAGTCGCTGAAGATAATGGGAGGCTGATTGAGGGAAAGCGTCCCCTCTTATAGGGACACCTGTACTCCTATTGGCTCCAGGTGTGTGCATCATTTTGTCTCAGGCTGTTCGCTGCCTAGGCAGCGGGGTAAACCAATAGGAGCAGAGCTCCCCTATGGGGCGGAGCTCCACGATATAGAACGTTGTGGGAGAGACAAAAAGTGAGTAAAAAACGCCCTACATTTACAGTGGGGGAAAAAAGTATTTAGTCAGCCACCAATTGTGCAAGTTCTCCCACTTAAAAAGATGAGAGAGGCCTGTAATTTTCATCATAGGTACACGTCAACTATGACAGACAAAATGAGAGAAAAAAATCCTGAAAATCACATTGTAGGATTTTTAATGAATTTATTTGCAAATTATGGTGGAAAATAAGTATTTGGTCAATAACAAAAGTTTCTCAATACTTTGTTATATACCCTTTGTTGGCAATGACACAGGTCAAACGTTTTCTGTAAGTCTTCACAAGGTTTTCACACACTGTTGCTGGTATTTTGGCCCATTCCTCCATGCAGATCTCCTCTAGAGCAGTGATGTTTTGGGGCTGTCGCTGGGCAACACGGACTTTCAACTCCCTCCAAAGATTTTCTATGGGGTTGAGATCTGGAGACTGGCTAGGCCACTCCAGGACCTTGAAATGCTTCTTACGAAGCCACTCCTTCATTGCCCGGGCGGTGTGTTTGGGATCATTGTCATGCTGAAAGACCCAGCCACGTTTCATCTTCAATGCCCTTGCTGATGGAAGGAGGTTTTCACTCAAAATCTCACGATACATGGCCCCATTCATTCTTTCCTTTACACGGATCAGTCGTCCTGGTCCCTTTGCAGAAAAACAGCCCCAAAGCATGATGTTTCCACCCCCATGCTTCACAGTAGGTATGGTGTTCTTTGGATGCAACTCAGCATTCTTTGTCCTCCAAACATGACGAGTTGAGTTTTTACCAAAAAGTTATATTTTGGTTTCATCTGACCATATGACATTCTCCCAATCCTCTTCTGGATCATCCAAATGCACTCTAGCAAACTTCAGACGGGCCTGGACATGTACTGGCTTAAGCAGGGGGACATGTCTTGCACTGCAGGATTTGAGTCCCTGGCGGCGTAGTGTGTTACTGATGGTAGGCTTTGTTACTTTGGTCCCAGCTCTCTGCAAGTCATTCACTAGGTCCCCCCGTGTGGTTCTGGGATTTTTGCTCACCGTTCTTGTGATTATTTTGACCCCACGGGGTGAGATCTTGCGTGGAGCCCCAGATCGAGGGAGATTATCAGTGGTCTTGTATGTCTTCCATTTCCTAATAATTGCTCCCACAGTTGATTTCTTCAAACCAAGCTGCTTACCTATTGCAGATTCAGTCTTCCCAGCCTGGTGCAGGTCTACAATTTTGTTTCTGGTGTCCTTTGACAGCTCTTTGGTCTTGGCCATAGTGGAGTTTGGAGTGTGACTGTTTGAGGTTGTGGACAGGTGTCTTTTATACTGATAACAAGTTCAAACAGGTGCCATTAATACAGGTAACGAGTGGAGGACAGAGGAGCCTCTTAAAGAAGAAGTTACAGGTCTGTGAGAGCCAGAAATCTTGCTTGTTTGTAGGTGACCAAATACTTATTTTCCACCATAATTTGCAAATAAATTCATTAAAAATCCTACAATGTGATATTCTGGAGAAAAAAAATCTCAATTTGTCTGTCATAGTTGACGTGTACCTATGATGAAAATTACAGGCCTCTCTCATCTTTTTAAGTGGGAGAACTTGCACAATTGGTGGCTGACTAAATACTTTTTTCCCCCACTGTACATCCCGCCACAGCGGGATCAACCAGCGGCGGCTTCCTGCATGCGCGATTCATTTGCAGTCTGGACGCGGAGGGGTGAACATCTCCTGCTCTGGTTGCAGCTGGGAGGGACTGCTGCGCGAGGACTGGGCCGCCTGTGAGTGCTTTGGGTCGGGGGTAACAAAGCACCCGCTGCTCGTTGAGAAGAGTAAGAACGATACGTGCTATCACGTCAGAGTCTCCAAAAGTCTCCAATAACACCAGAAAAAGTCGCTAGATTTGAGGGGTCTGAAAACTCGCTAAATATAGCGACAAAGTCGCTAAGTTAGCAACACTGATTGGAGGGGAACAATGAAATAACGCAGTGGAACTGGCTTTGAGGTCCAGAGTTGAGTTTGAGGGAAGCGGGTTCCAGGATAGAGTTTGCCTGGTGATGTTGGAGGGGACTTTAAGAGGGTGTGTCCGATCCATGCATCTCCATCTTCTCCTTTGGATCTCCTCCACAGAACATGACTAGTGCGCTCCCAACCACCACACCACACCACCACCAATTGATTTGTCTTTTATTTTAATACTATTAAAACAGATTACAAAGTCATTATGGAAATACCCTCTGTTAACTCAAGGCTTGAAAAGTTAGCTACAGAACAGGTCATTACAGATTTAAGTTAACTTAAAATGTACCCTGCAACTTTGTTCACATTCATTGACCAAAATAATTGAATGGATTTATTAATTTCGGTCTCAGCACTGTACTTCTGTGTCTGTTATTATGAGTAAAAGAAACTGAGTAAGAACTTTTGTTATTTGTTCTAGGCAGCAGTTGGGTAACACTTTGCTTGAAGGGGGTGTACATAAGGCTGATGTTGAATAAATGTGTTATGAAGGTTGTTATGAATGATACTGCAACACTAATATAGGTACCATTACATTTGAGTATTTTAGCAAACACTTACAGCAGCAATTATGGTTAAGTGCCTTGCTTAAGGGCACGTCGACAGATTTTTCACCTAGTCGGTTCGGGGATTTGAACCAGTGTCCTTTCTGTTACTGTCCCAACGCTCTTAACCGCTAGGCTACCTGCTGCCTCAAACGCTGATTTCTCACATAAATGCACCCATTCATTCAGGTTACAGACCATGTAACTAGGCCTAGGACCCCTAGACAAAGCAAGTGCAGGCTAGTGAATGGTTATGAAAGGTTTCATAAAAGGTGTTATGAATGCTGTATGTATACTCCCTTCCTAAAGTGTTACAGCATTTTGTTCAGCTTGAAATTAGAGTCCCTGTCATTATTCTTTGACTTACATAACCATCTTGGTCATACTTTAACTTTAGGTCCATTTCTATCTATATAAAACCTTGTTGCTAAAATAATCACATGCTAAAAATCATACACAGAGGGAAAAAAATGCAATGGAGCAAATAAATGTGTTTTTCTCTATGGAGCTTGCATATACAATACATACTGCATTTGTCACCATACAGAAAATCAGGGTGAAATATAATGCAAATCTTGAAAAGAAAAAGCCTAAAAAGCTTAGAACTGACAATGGTGAGATCAACAATATACTATATTTGTTTTGTTAACAAAAACTGCAGAAAAGACTTCATCCCAAAAGCTGCAAAGAGGAAGTGGTATGCTTTCTATTTTTGAAAGAAATGTGTAGCATAGAGCAGACTTTGTTTTAGAACTGTTACTATCATCCCACAGTAGACCTCTAGCTCCACACCCACACACAGCAAAAGGGTAACACCTTGAATACAACACTAGACTGTTATTCATACCAATCTCAAGCGCCTGTATAACTAGCCCAATGTCCTGGGATGTCTTCTGAAAAGTGTATTTGGATGTCTTCTTCAAGTTGAAGTCATCCAAATGCGTTACAAAACAAACAATATAAGATAGTGTGCCTGGCTGTGTTGTAATTTTGTTTTAATAAAAACTAACGAAACAACAATGAAAATAAGGGACGCCTTGACCCAGCTCTAAGGACCACAGCTACTCTAAGAAGGCTAGGTCTTTGGCAGCTGTGTACACTCCACGAGTCTGCCTGCTCTTTTATGTTCTGTCCATGAGTCCATCCCTAGCCTGGTCCCAGATCTGTTTGTGCCATCTTGCCAGCTCCTACGATCATTGTCACAGCAAGTTGACAAGACAGCACAAACAGATCTGGGACCAGGCTAGTCCATACCTACTGTCTCACATGGCTCCAGAGGGAGGAGAGGGTATTGTCTCTGTCTGCAGAGCAGAGCTGGGTCATTTGGCCTTGTCCTCTTCCTGAGTCTCCTCCTCGATCACCATTATCCTTAGGCCTGAGATCTGCCCGTTAGCGTCCAGCTGTATCCCCTCTACCTGGCTCTGCTGCCCAGTTTCGAGAACCTCCCCCTGGGCATCCTCAGACTCCCCCTGAACCACCATCCCCTCCCCTACCTCTCCCTCCACCTCCTCCGAGACCATGGTCACCTCCATCCCACCATGGACCACCATGGCAGAGCCCTCCTCCCCAGCCTCAGCCTCTCCTTCTTGGGCCAGCTGTAGCTCCATCACCGCCCCCATGGTCTGGTCCTGGTCGCCCGGCGCGGGGTCAATCTCGGTCACGGTTTGTGCCTGGCTCTTGTCCTCTACTCCCTCCACCAATCCCTCCTGTACCATCCCCTCCTGGTGGAGTACCATTGTCCCACCCTCCACAACCTGGCCCATGGGCTGCTCCACCATCATCTCCCCACTGACGGTCACCCCTCCCTGGGTGAGTTGGACCAGCTCCAGCGGACTCATCATGGTTCCTCCAAGCTGACTTGGGTCCTGGAGGGTGGTGCCCACCAGCGTCAGCCCCTGGGACGGGTGCAGCGTCAAGGTCTCCATCTTGCCGTCGGCCCCCACCATGGTGGTGATGTATCGGGTGAAGGTCTGGGCGCCGGCGGGTAGGGTGTGGAGGGTCACCGTGTTGTTCTGTTGACCCAGCGTGGTCATGGGGAGGCCTGACAGGCCAGACAGGCCGGACAGGGAGAAGGGCTGGCCCATGGAGGAGAATGAAATGGGGGAGAGGATAGTGAACTGCTGGGGCTGCAAGGTGGCTGTCTGGGGCTGGGAGAGGGAGGAGGTGAGGAGGGTGGTGGTGGAGGCTGGCCGCTGCAGACGTGGGCGTTTGGCCTTGGGCTTGGTGGGTTTGCCTCCTGGGGTGTGGCTGATGTTGTTGAGGGGCTGGGGGAGGCAGAGCTGAGCTCTGGCGTGCTGCTGTCGTCTCTGTTCCTCCAGCTGCAGCTCCAGGTCTGTGGAGATCAGGTCAGAGGTCAGAAATGACTCAGAGATGGTGCGCTACAGTAATCCACTGTATCAATTAGCAAGTGAATAGTTTTTGTTTGAGGCAATATCCAATTCAGGTCTATCTTTGCTATTGAATGTAGACTTTAATTACATTTTTGGTTTCCCAACCATTGACATTAAATGATATGACTAAAATTGAAATTATCCAAAACATCATAGGAATACTTTACTAGGCTACATATCTCAATCTCCCTTCCTCTGCCTGAAGTTACTGAATTGATCATTACTCACTGGTCAGTGTGCTAAGGACCTGCTCCTCTCCAGGGTCAGTCTGTTCTCTCCTTACGTTCAGGATGTGTTTGACCGAGTCCAGCAGGCCGAACACCTGGGCCAGGTTACTCAACACTGCCACCTCTACCAGACAGGAATCTGAGATCCATCAGTGGGCAATCAATCACATGGTCAGTAACAACACATCCATCAGTCAATCAATTAATCAAAGACATTAAATGTGTTTCAACAAGACATATGTAGCTTATTTTTTGGTTGCCCCACAAAAGACCCATAATCTAGTCTTTACATTACTCCTCATTATATTTCATCCCCAGACTTGATCAACAGAAATCAACATTGCACCTGTGTGGCACCATGCATATACCCTTAGAAATGACCTGTACCCTATCCCCTGTGTCCTAGGTGCCAGTACCCACCTGCGTCCTGCATGGCAGCCTGCTCGCTGCGTAGCTGCACTCCTCTCAGCATCTCCAGCAGCTCTGTCCTGATGTTGTCCACCACCTCCCCCATTAGGCCCACGTCAGCTATGCCTTTCCAGAAGTTCAACGTCTCCTCTGGGGGAACATAAAGGACACAGCAGAGTTCAAAGTTCAAATTCAAAGTAGGGTATATGCCATTTGAGTCACAGTTAATGATACGAGTGTGAGAGAGATGAGAAAGAATTCATCCAGTCGCATGCCAAGCAGACCTAAAGTCAAATACGTGTCACATACTTTCAAATACTTGAGATGTGGTTGGTTTAGCTTGACCGGCATGCAGGGTCGGTGGAGTTTGCACTTTGGGGATTATTCCATTGGTTTCATTTTACCGGGCGATCTAAATCAATTGCACCCAACAGCAAGTATTTGACCCAGGTATGAAGCTAAGATTAATACAAGACTAATGCCCAGACAACTATTTGACTTCAGAGTTGAGAGTATAAATACAGTAAATAGGGAGCTGTTTGGGTGAAGAACTCACCTGATATCTCACTGGTTTCCTTCTTCTCTGTCGTCTCCATTGCTACGGCCCCTGAACTCCACTCCACTGTTCCGGTCAGAACCTCTGACCTCTCCTCTGTTGTCATGGCAACCTGGCCACCATTACCAATCACCACCTGGGCTACATGTTCAACAGGGGGAGAGACGGTTAGCTACACTACTTACAATATTCAATACACAACAAAAAAACGGATGGTTCCGGTCCTGGATGCTTATTGACTGATAACGTATTCCAAACGTGTGTGTGTGATATATATATATATATATATATATATATATATCCCAATGAAAATGTACAGTTCATTGACATGCCTTAAAATTTCACAAATTCAAAAGGAGATAAATGGGAGAAAATAGGATTAAAAGGTTCTTTACCGAAAATAACTGCCAGACAAACTTTTAAATTGTTTTGCCACAGACAATCTGAGATCTTTACAGCCCTCAGGGAGGGGCGTGTCTGGTCTCACCTTGTGAGGAGGTGGATGTGGTGAGGCCACTGCCGTCTGGGGGGAAGCGTGTGTTGTTGATCAGCAGGTCAAACTTGGTGCTACGACACGTGTTGGTGCACAGAGTGCTGTGTTCATAGAAGTCTAGCTGCCCCGAGTCCATCATCTTCCTGAAGGAGAGAGATGATTAGATAAAGGATGAGAGTGAGGAAAGAGAGCTTGGGTTGATTTTCCCTTCAGACCTGGGATCCTAACTTGCAACCCTCCAGTTTCTGGCCCACCTCTCTAACTTCCTGACTACCTCTTATGCCTAAGAGATAGGCATTTTGCCTATCTAATGATCTCAGATCTCTCCACAAGTGCATAGGGGGTAGGGGCTAGAGGCTAGGGGTTGATTTGGGACCGGTCGACTCTACTCCTCACCTGAGCATGACCCCGCCCATCCGGATAGCTCTCTTCCAGTCCTTCAGTGTAGCCTTCCCAGACATGTGGACAAACTGCTTGGGACTGATCAGCTGGTCTTCATACTGTATGGGGCAGACATAATAGGTAGAGAGTGTAGAAAGGAACCATCTGTTCACTGGGATTACAAAACAGATACCTATATCACCTTATCATAAAGGAGACAGCAAAGAAACAACTGGCCAATGAGAAACTTTCAACTGATGTCTAAGGCATTGTTGAGGCAAACGGTATGTGACATTCTCACAATCTCTTCTGCTGACATTGTACAAACAGGAGTAAAACTCTTCATAAGTATACCAAAGCTGGCAGTCTGAGCTGTTCCTTCTCTGCACACTAGCATTTGAAAAGCTTTATGATTTCTGTCGAAAATACAATTACCATGACAATACTAACCTTGACACATTTGACGTTTATTCCAGGACAGACAAACTTCTTGACCAGCAGCACAGCTTTACACTCTCCACATGTGATGGGATAACCCAACTCCACGTCCTCCCCGTCAACGGTGGTTTCTTCTCAAGGAACACACACACGTGCACGTTTTATGATATGCTTTGTTTGTGTGTGACTGTGTGTGTGTGTGTGTGTGTGTGTTACTTACCTGGGTGTGCCTCAACAGCTGTGTCTGCCTCTCCCGACTCATCCATACTGCAACGGAAAGTGAACCACAAAACAAATGAAAACTAAGCAGGGTCTGCCTGCCACAAGACTGTTAACTCACTAACCTAAAGCCTAGGTAATTAGCTTAGGGACCCATCATGCGAGTGTGGTTCACTGAACCAACTCTGTTACACTAGTCTTGTCCTCTTTTCCCCTATCAGGCCCAAGTAAACATCAGTGTGTACCTACCCTGTTGTGATTTGTTGTAGCTGGAGGATGACCTGTGTCTTGCTTTCGTTGTCATCACCATCCTCTTCCTCAGGAGCCTTCATCACCATCAGGTCCCCCATGGAGACTGTCGTCACCTCGGTTTGTGCCATCCTGACTCCTCTCCCAGTGTAGCTTACTGAAGGCCCCAGATAGGAAAGAAGAGTACAATGGTGACAAATACAGTTGAAGTCGGAAGTTTACATACACTTAAGTTGGAGTCATTAAAACTCGTTTTTTCAACCGCTCCACAAATTTCTTGTTAACAAACTATAGTTTTGGCAAGTCGGTTAGGACATCTACTTTGTGCATGATTTACAGACAGATTATTTCACTTATAATTCACTGTATCACAATTCCTGTGGGTCAGAAGTTTACATACACTAAGTTGACTGTGCCTTTAAACAGCTTGGAAAATTCCAGAAAATGATGTCATGGCTTTAGAAGCTTCTGTTAGGCTAATTGACATCATTTGAGTCAATTGGAGGTGTACCTGTGGATGTATTTCAAGGCCTACCTTCAAACTCAGTGCCTCTTTGCTTGACATCATGGAAAAATCAAAAGAAATAAGCCAAGACCTCAGAAAAAAAATTGTAGTCTGGTTCATCCTTGGGAGCAATTTCCAAACGCCTGAAGGTACCACGTTCATCTGTACAAACAATAGTACGCAAATATAAACACCATGGGATCACGCAGCCGTCATGCCGCTCAGGAAGGAGACGCGTTCTGTCTCCTAGAGATGAACGTACTTTGGTACGAAAAGTGCAAATCAATCCCAGAACAACAGCAAAGGACCTTGTGAAGATGCTGGAGGAAACAGGTACAAAAGTATCTATATCCACAGTAAAACGAGTCCTATATCGACATAACCTGAAAGGCCACTCAGCAAGGAAGAAGCCACTGCTCCCAAACCGCCATAAAAATGACAGACTACGGTTTGCAATTGCACATGGGGACAAAGATCGTACTTTTTGGAGAAATGTCCTCTGGTCTGATGAAACAAAAATAGAACTGTTTGGCCATAATGACCATCGTTATGTTTGGAGGAAAAAGGGGGTTGCTTGCAAGCCGAAGAACATTTTACCTCTTGGGGATGTTATTCGAAAACATAATGTTAACTTTCACTGCTATGCGGATGACACACAGCTGTACATTTCAATGAAACATGGTGAAGCCCCAAAATTGCCCTCGCTAGAAGCCTGTGTTTCAGACATAAGGAAGTGGATGGCTGAAAACTTTCTACTTTTAAACTCGGACAAAACAGAGATGCTTGTTCTAGGTCCCAAGAAACAAAGAGATCTTCTGTTAAATCTGACAATTCATCTTGATGGTTGTAAAGTCGTCTCAAATAAAACTGTGAAGGACCTCGGCGTTACTCTTGACCCTGATCTCTCTTTTGACGAACATATCAAGACTGTTTCAAGGACAGCTTTTTTCCATCTACGTAACATTGCAAAAATCAGAAATTTTCTGTCCAAAAATGATGCAGAAAAATTAATCCATGCATTTGTTACTTCTAGGTTAGACTACTGCAATGCTCTACTTTCCGGCTACCCGGATAAAGCACTAAATAAACTTCAGTTAGTGCTAAATACGGCTGCTAGAATCCTGACTAGAACCAAGAAATTTGATCATATTACTCCAGTGCTAGCTTCCCTACACTGGCTTCCTGTTAAGGCAAGGGCTGATTTCAAGGTTTTACTGTTAACCTATAAAGCGTTACATGGGCTTGCTCCTACCTATCTTTCCGAGTTGGTCCTGCCGTACATACCAATACGTACGCTACGGTCACAAGACGCAGGCCTCCTAATTGTCCCTAGAATTTCTAAGCAAACAGCGGGAGGCAGGGCTTTCTCCTATAGATCTCCATTTTTATGGAACAGTCTGCCTACCCATGTGAGAGACGCAGACTCGGTCTCAACCTTTAAGTCTTTACTGAAGACTTATCTCTTCAGTAGGTCATATGATTGAGTGTAGTCTGGCCCAGGAGTGTGAAGGTGAACGGAAAGGCTCTGGAGCAACGAACAGCCCTTGCTGTCTCTTCTAGGCCGGTTCCCCTCTCTCCACTGGGGTTCTCTGCCTCTAACCCTGTTACAGGGGCTGAGTCACTGGCTTGCTGGTGCTCTTTCATGCCGTCCCTAGGAGGGGTGCGTCACTTGAGTGGGTTGAGTTACTGACGTGATCTTCCTGTCTGGGTTGGCGCCCCCCCTTGGTTTGTGCTGTGGTAGAGACCTCTGTGGGCTATACTCGGCCTTGTCTCAGGATTGTAAGTTGGTGGTTGAGGATATCCCTCTAGTGGTGCGGGGGCTGTGCTTTGGCAGAGTGGGTGGGGTTATATCCTTCCTGTTTGGCCCTGTCCGGGGGTTTCTTCGGATGGGGCCACAGTGTCTCCGGACCGCTCCTGTCTCAGCCTCCAGTATTTATGCTGCAGTAGTTTATGTGTCGGGGGGCTGGGGTTAGTTGGTTATACCTGGAGTACTTCTCCTGTCTTATCCAGTGTCCTGTGTGAATTTAAGTATGCTCTCTCTAATTCTCTCGTTCTCTCTTTCTCTCTGAGAACCTGAGCCCTAGGACCATACGTCAGGACTACCGGGCATGCTGACACCTTGCTGTCCCCAGTCCGCCTGGCCTTGCTGCTATTCCAGTTTCAACTGTTCTGCCTGCGGTTACGAAACCCCTACCTGTCCCAGACCTGCTGTTTTCAACTCTTAATGATCGGCTATGAAAAGCCAACTGAGAGACCTGAGCCCTAGGACCATACGTCGGGACTACCGGCCGTGGTGACTCCTTGCTGTCCCCAGTCCGCCTGGCCTTGCTGCTATTCCAGTTTCAACTGTTCTGCCTGCGGTTATGGAACCCCTACCTGTCCCAGACCTGCTGTTTTCAACTCTTAATGATCGGCTATGAAAAGCCAACTGAGATTTATTCCTGATTATTATTTGACCATGCTTGTCACTTATGAACATTTTTGAACATCTTGGCATGGTTCTGTTATAATCTCCACCCGGCACAGCCAGAAGAGGACTGGCCACCCCTCATAGCCTGGTTCCTCTCTAGGTTTCTTCCTAGGTTTTGGCCTTTCTAGGGAGTTTTTCCTAGCCACCGTGCTTCTACACCTGCATTACTAGCTGTTTGGGGTTTTAGGCTGGGTTTCTGTACAGCACTTCGAGATATTAGCTGATGTACGAAGGGCTATATAAAATAAAATTGATTGAACACCATCCCAACCGTGAAGCACGGGGGTGGCAGCATCATGCTGTGGGGGTGCTTTGCTGCAGGAGGGACTGGTGCACTTCAGAAAATAGATGGCATCATGAAGAAGGCAAATGATGTGGATATATTGAAGCAACAGATCAAGACATCAGTCAGGAAGTTAAAGCTTGGTCGCAAATGGGTCTTCCAAATGGACAATGACCCCAAGCATACTTCCAAAGTTGTGCCAAAATGGCTTAAGGACAACAAAGTCAAGGAATTGGAGTGGCCATCACAAACCCCTGACCTCAATCCTATAGAAAATGTGTGGGCAGAACTGAAAAAGCATGTGTGAGCAAGGAGGCCTACAAACCTGACTCAGTTACACCAGCTCTGTCAGGAGGGAGGAATGGGCCAAAATTCACCCAACTTATTGTGGGAAGCTTGTGGAAGGCTACCCGAAACATTTGACCCAAGTTAAACAATTTAAAGGCAATGCTACCAAATACTAATTGAGTGTATGTAAACTTCTGACCCACTGGGAATGTGATGAAAGAAATAAAAGCTGAAATAAATCATTCTCTACCATTATTCTGACATTTAACATTCTTAAAATAAAGTGGTGATCCTAACTGACCTAAGACAGGGCATTTTTACTAGGATTAAATGTCAGGAATTGTGAAAAACTGAGTTTAAATGTATTTGGCTAAGGTGTATGTAAACTTCCGACTTCAACTGTAGGCTAGATTAGAAGAATGTGAGTGTGATAAAGACTACACACATAGAGGAGGACAGACAGGCCAAGGCAGAATCTGGATAAGATGGTCTTAGGGAAGACCATGCCCATAAACAGATTCAGTTCAGTTGCCTCTCAGTTTGTATGGTTTCAGCTCATTTTAACCTCCAGAGGTATTCAGTTATTATGTCATAGTTATTAGAAAGGGGGGCATTGCATAGGGCTCATTGAAAGCCACATGGTTACTAGCTAACTATCTTTCCTACGTGGTCCCTACAAATTTAAAAGGTGAGGAGAAAAACTGACTGAAAACTTGCTATGCATAACTTTTAACTAGTAGTTAGCTATTGTTACACTTGATCTCCTGACTGTAACTACTGCTAGTGCACTGCCCATAACCACAGAAACGTTGCGTTAGCTAACTAACTAACTATCGTTACTAGTTTTAAAAAAAAATGTACAGCAAGTTTGCACTCAGTTGTTCTCCACGCAACGTTTCTGTGGGTATGGGCAGTGCACTAGTTACAGTCAGGAGATCAGGTGGAACATAGCTAACTAGCTGCTAAAGCGCCATTTGCCCGAATAGCCTACGCCACTGATGTATATATGAACGGCCTACACCCATGCAGTGTACTGGTGTGGCTATCTTTGCTAGCAAGGTAGCGGCTTGTAGCTAGCAAGATGGCTAAGCTAGCTAAAGTAATGGACTTTGGGCAGCGGTTTGGAGCTCATGTAACCTGGGGCTGGGCTGTTACTAGCCACCTTGAGATTTACAGCGTGGCGGCGGTTACGTACCGCTTGTTTCAGAACGATAACGTGCGTCCGTTCTACTTTTTCTTTTCTCCGCTCCCCCTCAAAATTACGTCCCTGTGCGGCAGCACGTACACCAAACAACAACGCCGCGACGGCGTTGACCCGCCATTCGGAGAGAGCGGGGTGTTACCCCTTTAAAATGCCGAAATCTACGTAGAGATAGACATTATCTCGCATATAAATTAGTTAGCCTTTATGAGCCGAATAAACCTAACAGCACAAAGCCATCGTTTAGATTTTCCTTACCGTTTTTACGAAGTCAAACACATCCCTACAAGCTGCTGGGCATGCGCACTTCGTGCAGTTACACTTCCTGAGATATAGCGCGGCTCGCCAGTCATGCATGCTACACCCCCCAAAATAGGTCAAAAATAAACACAAGCCTGTTGACAATAAATCGCTGTTAAATGTTTTATGACAGCAATCATCACTTATTTCACAATATTATGACATTTAGATTATGACCTGCTTTTGCAACTGCACATTTTTTGTCGACCAGTGGCACAGGTCTGTGTTAGTATGGGCGTCGCAATATGAAGAAACAAAACCAATTATGTTCACGGTTCGTTTTTTTTGTACACATTTTTTGGGGCGCAAAGATTGACGATCATTCGCAGCCCCGGTCAGTAAAAATTATGCTTCCGAAATCTCTTGATATCGATTCCGCAAGAAGAGTGGTGAATCCCCACCCTTCCTGTGCTAAACATAGCAGAAGCCCTTTTTAGTAAATTAGGGCTAGATTCTACAATGTGATCGTTGGACATAGGGACTTCAGTCAGGGTAGGGAAGAACATTTAATTTATTTTACCAAACATATTCTGTTTGTGATTTCCAGTTAGATTAAGTATTTAAATCATATTTTAGTTGACAAAACAACGAATAATATTGCTGAATCAAATAGAATTAAATGCATTTAGCTGTAATTTTTCCTTACGCAAAGCATCATGGGATAGATAGGTTGAACAGTTTAGATTCTGATTGGTCCCCACGATAGCTCATCGGCTTGTAAATGTATTCCAAATAGACCCCTTACCCCATTGCATCTCATTCCTCCTGAAGTGTGTACTCGTTCACTACTCCCTGCAAATGAAAGAATAGCGGTTCCAGATACCATTACTTTACTTTCAAATCAATGAAGGGAACAAGTGCACATTTCAGGAGAAGTTAGAGATGATTGAGAAGTAACTCTAGGGTAATGGCTAGAAGGGATCCAGCATTTGTCAAATTAACTTCAAAAGTTGCTTTTTGTGGCTTTTAGCTAACCCTAACCCTTTTCCTAAACTTAACCTAATTCTCATAACCTGCTACGTTAATTATCCAAACCTGCTGCGTAAATTCAGCTAACAATCGGACCTTTATGAAATAATAATGGATGGCCCTCCCTTCAGAAAAATATATGTTTACCACGCCCTTCCTAAACCCTTGAAAAACAAAAAACAAGTGACCCTCCCCTGTACCCAAAATAATAATTAAAACATAAAGTGGATAGCAGAGGACATTTCTACTGTTTATCCTCACTCATAGGACTGACCAGAGCCTTAGAAATGCAGTTTTGTAAGTATTACATGACAAAGCAGCCAGAAGGTTGTGGATTCGCAGATCACCACCGACAAGGGTAGGGGTGAAAATAACCCCATTATAATAAGAGCACTGCATGAATCTATCATCTTACTTGAGGTCTGAGAAAAAAATGCCTTTTATAAACGCAATTCATGCAATTCTACGTCATTTTACATGACTGGCGACATGCAGAATATTTTTTTTATACCACAACAGAGCTTGACAACGAATGAGCGCATGTTGTGATTTCTATACAGGCTATTGTTTAAAAAAGAGGATAGTCCTTTGTTTGGAACAGTGCTAAAGTTGTCTATTAACTGTAAAAATGTAGTGCAACCGAACGAGTTACAACTGAAGTATCAGATCGTCAAATAATTCGAGAAAAATGCAATTGTTATTTAACACAGCAGCCGCATATCATCAGGTCGGCCTATATGCATGCACTTGTAACTTTTTTTCATTTAGGAAACTGTCATGATATTGTTGTTAAAAATAGATTTGTGTTGACTGTGATTAGGGCATGGGAATATAAGAGCATCTGCTAGGCTAAATTAACAAACTACGCATGCATAGTTTACCGCATGATCCTCAAACCAAAGACTGCCAAACTCGTGTTTCTGAAAGTTCATTCAAATGCACTGTATAATGACTGTTTAGCTTAATAAGGATTTTTTTTCATTTTATACAGCCTAAATGCGAAATGTATAGGCATATTGTTGAAATGCTGTTGTTGATGGGTTTTTGAAATGCTGAGCGCTCCTGCCAGCCTGTATCATGTCACAAATGTGTCACAATTTGTTTCTTAAATGGCAGGCTATAGCCTTGAAATAATAATAATATAGCCTAAATAATTAATTTTCGTTCCTTCTTAGGCTACCTGGCTTGCTCCTGACTGACTTAGAGTTCGTATGTTGTTTAATAGCCTGTTGAAATGTTGAACCTCAATTGATAGTGACAGAATCACACATTACTTCTCAAGCAAAGTACTTTTTTTGTCTCCTCGGCTATAGAAGGTTGTAGTGCAGCCTTTGAATGTCATAGAGACTAAATAAATCCCATATGCATCGGAGTCACATCTTTCCCCTGCATTTTACAGCTTGTTTCTAGCATAAAGCATTGCAGACTAAAGCGTCATTATAGATTGCTTTATATAATCAGGTTCATTTCATTTTTTCCCAAAATCTTAACCTAACAAGGGGTAGGCCTATGCTTTTAGCCATCTTCTTTCAGAAAAGCCACAGTACTCTCACACCCTCACATACCCTCTTAATTCGAGCCCTGGTTTTAACTTAACACACCAAGCTCTTCATTGACACTGAGATATTTAAGGTGTGCATGGTGATGGAAGGAGTTGGCTGACAAAATCTATGGATAGTAGACTATAATTTAATCTGTCAAACAGGTAGGCCTACCTCTTATTTCTTGAATAGGAATAAATAGAGTCCAACACCTCTTGTTGTAGGTAGCCTAATGTCAAATTAAAATGAAGACTGTTTAAATGAATTAGGCCTTCTGGAATTAGCCTACTTTCAGCAGCCATGTGCTGTCCTTCTTTGCGGCTGCCACTTTATAGTAATGTAAATTATATAAAAATGGCTTATTGTGAGGTCAATAAACCTGATAAATAGCTTTGTTATGGGCATTTTTTAAATGTATTATTCAAATCAATTATAGCAGTAGCAAGCTTACCTCCGGTCCTCTTTCTCATTTTTGCGCTCTCCCTCTCAAACTGAACAGGACATCAGTAGGCCTAGTCCGCATACACAGATATTACATTTTTTAACATATAAAAACATATTTTCTGAAGAAGCCTTTGACTCGCCTACTGAAGTGCCACTGTACACAGCACATCCATTGGTTAGGCAGCACGAAAGGGTTAACATCAGCAAGAGCAGAGCAGGTCAGGGCTCATGATTGGGTTAGCCTATCCATTGCAGTGTATAATGCAGTGTAGCCTAGTTTTATATACACCATTTATTTAAAATGGATTAAAATGAGATTTTTTTGTCACTGGCCTAAACACAATACAACAATGTCAAAGTGGAATTATGTTTTTAGAAATGTTTAGAAATGTAATTAAAAATGAAAATCTTAAATGTCTTGAGTCAATAATATTCAACCCCTTTGTTATGGCAAGCCTAAATAAGTTCAGGAGTAAATATGTGCTTAACAAGTCACATAATAAGTTGCATAGTATCACTCTGTGTTCAATAATTGTGTTTAACATGATTTTTGAATGACTAACTCATCTCTGTACCCCCCACATACAATTATCTGTAAGATCCCTCAGTCGAGCAGTGAATTTCAAACACAGATCCAACCACAAAGACCAGGGAGGTTTTCCAATGTCTCACAAAGAAGGTCACCGATTGGTAGATGTGAAAAAAATTAAATAAATAAAAGGCAGACATTGAATATCGCTTTGAACATGGTGAAGTTATTAACCTTTGGATGGTGTATCAATACACCCAGTCACTACAAAGATACAGGCGTCCTTCCTAACTCAGTTGCCAGAGAGGAAAGAAACCACTCAGGTATTTCACCATGAGGCCAATGGTGACTTTAAAACAGTTACAGAGTTTAATGGCTGTGATAGGAGAAAACTGAGGATGGATCAACAACATTCTAGTTACTCCACAATACTAACCTAGCGGAGGGCCTCCTAATATGAGTCGTCCCAGCGAGCCAGCCCCCCAGCCTACCCTGCAGTCCGCCCAGGACAGCGATGCCCGACTGTCCCTCCTGGACAAGTATCCAAATTCTGAGAGGTCCAAAGTTGCCATGTTCATTTCCCTGCTGCCCGGGCGGGCGTTGGAGTAGGCTATGGCCGTCTGGGAGAGAGGAGAGGAAGAGCTGGGTTCCTACGAGAGGTTCATGGCTCTGTTCAGGGCGGTCATCGACCATCCACCGGAGGGCAGAGAGGGAGGTGAGCGACTACTCCAACTCCGGCAGGGTGCCCAGACTACTGCGGAGTACGCCCTCACCTTGCCGACCGTGGCAGCCTCCAGCGGATGGAATGAGCCGGAGCTCCGCATCTATTCCGAAGAGGACTGCGCGAGGAGGTCCAGACAGAGTTGGTGTGCCGGGACGACAACCTTTCCTTGGACGCGCTCATCGTGATGGCCATCCGTCTGGACAAACATATTCGGGAGCACCAGCGCCCCCCTCGCCTCTTGCCCTCCTCCTTTGGCCATTCTGAGGCAGAGCTTGAACCCATGGAGGTAGGGGCCACACAACTCCCCGTGGCAGAGCAGCGTTGCCGGAGACAGCTGAGGCTCTGTTCCTATTGCGGCCAGGAGGGGAACCAGCTTCAGCGGTGTCCAGTGCGTTCCAATCCGGGGTCCACGGAGGCAGAAGGGCGGCCCCGTGATCATCTGTCTCCCGGGGTAGGCATGAGTATTCCATCATTATCACTTTCCGCCAAATGGTTCCTGGTTTCCATTTCACTGGATGGCTGTCCTTCATGTGTTGTCGCTACAGCCCTAAGGGACTCCGGTGGCGTGGGGAATTTCATCGACCAGACCCTCGCCTCCTCCCTGAACATCACCTCGTACCCGCTCTCCTCTTCCGGTCCAAGCCCTGGATAATCGACCATTGGGATCCAGTACAATCACGCAAATCACAGCACCACTCACCCTCACCGTGGGACCCATGCACCAAGAAAGCCTTCCCTTCCTCATCATCACCGTCCCCCAAGACACCCCTCCGCCTCCCCTGGACATCGATGGGACCCCCACCTATGCCTTCAGGTCCCTCCTGGACTCCCAATGTCGTGGGGGTTGGCTCCAGTACCTGGTGGACTGGGAGGGGTACATCCTGGAGCCCAACATCGTCCGGGATTTCCATCTCCCCCATCCGGACCAGCCCGCTCCTCACCCTTGGGGGCCGTCCTCTGGCCGGCGTTGTTCTGCGGCTGGAGCCACTCGTCGGGGGGATGCCCTCCGGTGGATGATCGAAGACTCCTCTGAACAGAGCCATGAACCTCCCATAGGAACCCAGCTCCTCCTCTCCTCTCTCCCAGACGGCCGTAGCCCATTCCAACGGCCGCCCGGTCAACAGGGAAATAACCGTGGCAACCTTGGACCTCTCTGTGGTGGGGGCTCCCGTTTGATGAGAAAAATAGAGGGAGCACTGGAGGAGGAAGCCACCGCATTTGGATGGAGTCCCATCATATTTGTCTGGAAGGGACAAACGGACATCGCTGACCTGGGCAGACTGCTGAATGGGCTGGGGTGCTGGCTTGCTGGGTCGACTCATGGTAGATGATCCTCCGCTCGTTGGGGGTGACGCCCCTTGGGGAAGATCTAGATGTTGAAGAACGCGGAGGACCTCATCCATCACCGTCCCCAGTTGCGCCAGCTGATCGTGGTGTTGGCGAAGTAGGTCTCCCTGTTCGCCGACCATCTGGGAGATGTCTCGGTTGGCTGCTGCTTCCATTCTGTGAGGCAATATTCTGTAACGTAGACGCAGGGAGTCAGGAAGCAAGTGCAGTTAGTGAGTTTAATGACGAAGAACATTGAATGATACAAAACAAGAAAAGCATCTAAACATGGAAACATAAACAATTTTGCCTGGTGGGTGATAACAATGGAGTGCTATATAAAGGGGAAGTAATCAGGGAGGTGATGAAGTCCAGGTGTGCCTAATGAGGCGCAGGTGTGCGTAATGAAGGTTGCCAGGTGTGCGTAACGATGGGTTGCCAGGTCCTGTGGTTAGTAGACCGGCGACGTCGAGCGCTGGAGAGGGGGAGCGGGAGTGGATGTGACAGCATGACCCTTGCCCATTTTCCTCCGGGTAACAATTGTGTACATTTCGACCCCTCCCTTACAAAATGTACCTTCACTGTCACTTTCATTAAAGAATGAACTTTTAAAAGATCTGATCATATAAATGCATCAAGTCTTTCTTTCATTTAACATAACATTTATTTAATCTTTCACCACATATCAAATAATCACAAATGTTGACTGCTTACAAAGCCAGAGTGATTTGCACGGTCATTTCAATGAATTTGCACATTTAGCGTGTGTGTATCTGCATTTCTTCCCTCCAGATGATTCGTTAAGAACCACAGATGTTTCTACCATAAGTATATATATGGTTTCTACAGGTAAGCTTGGACAGGAGCGGAGGGTGAAAGCAATATCAGTGAACAGCTTCATTTCCACAAGTGATATTAATCCGTTATTGATGTTATTGATTAGTTATTGATCAGTTATGCCAACTAACAGTTGTGATTTTCAACAGAGGCTTATGAAAATGAAAGCACACCAATATTATTTCCATACAGAGTTGTATGTTTATTAGTTGAAGTTCAGTATTTTATTTGCACTGTGATTCAGCTAAGTGGGTCTGGTATGCAGTTATTTTTTTAACAAAAGAGGGCACCATAACCCTGGCATGGAGATGGTCAATCAATATGGCACCATGGACATAATATTGTTTATTGATTGAATACCCTTTAACAGTAGAGTACCTTATACAGAACATTTAGAATATAAAATAAATAACAGTTATTTCGTCAAGCTGTAATCTGTGATCTGACTCAGTCAGAGGCAAAATAGAAGCATCAACTATGCTGCTGTGCTGCTATGTCTAGTTGTTGGCTTGCCAAAAAAACTAATTTGCAAGTAAAATACGTTAGTGATTTGTGATATGTTGTTGTACTATCAAGGACCTGTTGGATAGTACAGATTTAATTAGATTGTTTTGTCGATTGGTATTCAGATTACAGTATTATGATATTATTATCATCACAAAGAAAATGGCCACTTATAATTTATAATCAACTGAACACTTTCTAAAGCATCAATTATTTTGAATTTTTCTGCTCTAAAATCGAAACTTTTCTAGTTCTACTGGCAACGTGTCAAGATCCAAGAACCAAGCTCAAACTCTTCTTTCAAGTCCTTTAGCCTGAATAGGCTGTTGAATATAGCTGGTGCTCCATCTCAGTGACATGGGCCTTTCTCTAGATACACATTGTTCATAGACCATCATTGGCATCATCATCACCACAGCTTCCTAATTCCTGTTTTCTTCATATCTGATGTAACAATACAGCCAACAAGAATCCTTATGAAAGTCAGTGCTCAGGAATAGGTTGCATTCACTGACAAGCAGCTGTATTACAGCACATATTATCATTATTGTAAGCCTAAACAATACAACTGTACAAAATAAACCCTGTTATAAATGACACAGGAAGCTGAAAAAAGGAAGCAGTACATACTGTAAGGAACATGGTTTGACTCTAACTCCCTTTGTGGCTTAGAATGGAAATATTTGCTGCTTTTCAAAAGGAGTTGAATTGCGATGACCAAACAGACAGCGGCCTACATTATCATACCTCTGAAACCATGTCTGAAAAAGATAATTCTCAATTTCTATACATTCCCAGGCAAGACTGTTTTAGTTCATTTAAAGGGCATGTCTCCCCTCCCTAGGCCTCGGTATTGCTTTATCTTTGTGGATGTGTCCTTTCTTACCGTAACAAGAACATGGATCAATACAGACATCTGATTGTCATATGTACTGGTTAGCCAACTGATTTAACTTTGAAAGAAATTAGACATGTTGTAATGGGGTTATGACCTGTGATAACAGAGGTTTAATAAGTCTGTGAATGGTTAGTAGAGCTGAAAAACTGACCACGACATAACTATAAACAGGGTTAACATTGATGAGTGTGGGAACAACAGGAACAACTAAACTATGTTTGCATCAGACTTTGTAAAGTAAGAGGCAAAACATAAGTACGGTATGTAGACAAACACATATTTTTTTCAATAAATTGTATGCTGAGGCTTTGTAAGTTGTTTACCAGTATGTATGTAAAGGCTCCCAAAAGATTAGTTAGTTAGACATTCCTTTCAACAAGTCAAGTCACATGACCATGATACAGGCCATATGCTGCTGGACCTTGCCCAATGACCACTGGAACACAAAACCAACATAGAACCCAATATCCCATAAAGTCACAGTTGCTGAATGCACAATGTCTCTCCTGTCATCTACAGTGTGTGCAGGGTGTGGTGCTGGTGAGAGGTGGACAAGGTAAGCTGAGGGGAAGGAGGATGGGAGGGAGGAGGGACCAGGCAAAGTGAGCTGTTATCTAGACCCTGAGCCATGGTAACACCAGTCTACAGCCAAGTCTCAGTCTCAGGGCAACTGTTATCTGCACTGGGGTTTGCAGTATGGAGATAGTAGTCTAGGGAAACTAGAGAGTTATCTTCCTGTGCCTATCTGCAGGCAGAAAGGGCCTATAGGCACAGCAAGGCAAGATTCTGGCTGTCTTGATATTGGAACCATTCTGATGGAGCATGGAGGCCATTAGGGCCGAAATGTCATGTTCTCAACCAGATAATGTAATAACACAGCATTTCCAAAACGCGGTCCTCGGGACCCCAAGGAGTACACGTTTTGTTTTTTTACCCTAGCACTACACAGCTGATTCAAAGAATCTACTAATCATCAAGTGGCTACCATTAAAAGGGTTTGTGGCTTCAGCAATGTTCTACAAATGATGTAAAACAAATTAAAATAGAAAACATTACTCATCTGCTCTGAAGTAGGAAGTCCACAACATGAAGCAACATTAACTTGATTTGGCTTATGTGCAATTACATAGATAAGTAGTCTACAGGACCATATTAGCAGGGGAGGGGTGGTGGTGGTGACACATATAGAGTACAGTTTATTCTCCTTGCCTATTATCAATGAACTTTTAACACCAGAGCTAACCATGCCCAGTGGTTTAAAATACTTAAGTAAAAATACTTTAAAGTACTACTTAAGTCGTTTTTTGGGGTATCTGTACTTTACTTTACTATTTATATTTTTGACTACTTTTACTTTACTACATTCCTAAAGAAAATAATGTACTTTTTACTCCATACATTTTCCCTGACACCCAAAAGTACATTTTGAATGCTTAGCAGGACAGGAAAATGGTCCAATTCACACACTTCTCAAGAGAACATCCCTGGTCATCCCTACTGCCTCTGATCTGGAGGACTCACTAAACACACATTCTTTGTTTGTCAATGATGTCTGCATGCTGTAGTGTGCCATCTGGTTTGCTTAATATAAGCAATTTGAAATTATGAATACTTTTACTTTTACTTTTGATACTTAAGTATATTTTTGCAATTACATTTACTTTTGATACTTAAGTATATTTAAAACAAAATACTTTTAGACTTTTACTCAAGCAGTATTTTACTGGGTGACCTTCACTTTTACTTGAGTCATGTTCTATGAAGATATCTTTACTTGTACTCAAGTATGACAATTGGGTACTTTTTCTACCACTGACCATACCAGACATGATGTACAGTCTCAGGGGACTGCAGGCAGCGCAACGGCACACACACATACACACACACACGCAAACACACACACGCAAACACACACACACACTTAGCCAGACAGACGTCAACCCACAACAACGTAATGGGAGTGATGCCAGACCGCAATAATGCATAGTCCACCAGCAAAGACCTTGCCTGCTTAAGAATCCAATAACTCCTGCGGCAGCAAAGGGCATCCAGGAAGGAATAGGATGCTGCCAGGAAGGAATAGGATACGTACTGGAATACCCCAAGGCCTGATCGCTGTCATACAGGTGTCTCTGGCTGCGTTTACACAGGCAGCCCAAATGTGATCTTTTGCCAAATTATTGGCAAAAGGCCTTTTCTCAATGGTCAAAATAACAATAATTGTGCAAAACATCAGAATTGGGCTGCCTGTGTAAACGCAGCCTCTGTGCCTGCCTTACCTAACTGGGCCCAAAGCTACCCAGGTGATGCTAAACTGTGTAGGCTTAGCATGTACATGTATGATGCTTGTCCACTGCAAGGATTTACACCAGTGTTCGTAGAGAAGCTTTAGTCACATCAAGATGTGTACTACAGGATGTGTATCATGTACTCCCATCAGAAAACAGCCCCATCCTGACCTCTGTAGGAACTAATACAGAGGGGAAAGGCAGGCTAGCTACGCTAAGCATATGGTGACATGTGGACGCGTGACGATGATGTCACAGGACAAGGGCCTCACTTTAGACCGTGGCTTAGTTTCAATGGGAAACTGACTAAACTGTGAGATGATGTGAGATACTTGTGGAGATAAGAGAGGGGGAACAACAGTGGAGACATGCGTCGTATTTATTAGGGAACACGTTCTAAAACGTTTCGCAACGGAAAAGATAAATTAGTGTTTCTTATTGGACAATTCCAGGTAGTCCCTCTCTGTTCCAATCCATTTTCTTCCGTTTGGTGCCTAATGAACATGACCATTGATGAGGTCAGGGGTCAGGGATCGAGGGTCAGTCTCTCAGCAGTTGCAGCTCTTCTCCCTCGGCTCCACCTCAATGTCCTCTTCGCCCGGGTACAGGACCCTGGTGGTGAGACCGCTCTTCACCCCATCCCATCCGTCCCTCGTGGTGATCTCCCCCATCTTCATCAGCTCATAGATGTCCCTGCTGAGCAGCTCGAAGGTCCGGTCCACGTTGCTGTTGCACTTAGCCGACGTCTCCACATAGCGGATTCCCATCTCCGCCGCCAGCTGCTCAGCCTCGTCCCGCGTCACCTTCCGGTCCTTGTTTAGGTCGCTTTTGTGGCCAATCAGGATGTAGACCATGTGGTGCGGCAGGATGTGCTCGCTCACTTCCTTGTGCCACTCCCTCACGTGGTCGAAGGTCTTGTGATTGGTCAGGTCGAACACGAGGAGCCCGCCCACTGAGTTACGGTAGTAGGAAGTGGTGATGGACCTGGAAGATGGAGAGTACGAGATGTTACAATTCAGCTCTGATCCATAGTGAAATGTGAATTTAAACAATGCTGACTTGAATCTCATTGTAACCCTGAACCAAAACAGCATAACAATATCCGTGATTCCTTGCAGGTCCAGGGAAAAACATCCCTTGTGGCTTACAAACTAAGGAATGATAACTAACAGTACAGACCTGTAGAGACAGTTCTTTCATGCCACTGAGAATCTCTTGTAGGTGTTTACTGTGAACCTCCTATTGGAAAACAGTCTTTCTTCCATAATATTCTGTCAGAGACATCCAGGTTCAGCTTCAAGAGGAAAGGGAGATCTGAGAGCAGAGTCTACAAACACAGTTCTAATGCTCTTAGAGGAACTGTATCTGAGACTACATCAGTGGAGAATGAAATATGTTGTTTACATCTTTTTTTCAACTACAAGCTATACTGGCTCCTGGATGGATACTGTATTTGCCTAGGCATTGCAGACTAGGCTACATACAGACACATTACTACATGTATGTAACAGAGAGAGACATGCCTCGCTGATTCACAGGCCATCTCATCAGCAACAAACCATACTTGCAGAATAACCGGATTTGACTGTCATTCATCCAAAGACAGGCATCAAAACCTTCTTATCATTGTATTAAAAAGGGATATTTCATTAGTGTATTACAGAAAACGATATCAAGGCGAGGTTGTTGCCCATCATCAGTGAATGAATGCAACTGATGATGCGCCACAATTTGCTGACTGTTTTTATGATGGAGACTGGAGTAACGGCCTCCGTTATTACAGTCGTAGGGTGAAAAATGACTGACGATGACTGACCTCCTTTCTCTGTGGGTTATGACTAGAGATAATGAAAACGATTATTTTCCTCCACTGTTATTCGCCAAAATGGTAAACCGACCACAATAGATTGTGTGAGGGCTGAGGCGTTTTAGTTATTTGATCCATATAGGCTAATTTATACTGATGGAAATAATTAATTAGTTGATCTTGTCAACAGATTATTGATAACAGATATAGATAGGCCTAGTATAACATTTATTGTCCGCATCTCACCTAAATCGTTCCTGTCCAGCCGTGTCCCACAGTTGAAGCTTGATTTTAATCCCTGGCTCGATGTCTAGCGAACGGGCATAAAAATCAACACCGACCGTTGGATCCGCTACATCGCTGTAAATTCCATCTGTAAACCGCTTCAACAAAGATGATTTCCCTACGGTCGAGTCTCCTAGCAAAATTATCCTGAACTGATATTGCCACAAAATATCCATGGCATGGCTAGAGAGAGACCCACAATGGTGGCGGTTCCGAAACAAAGCAGCGCAGCACGTATGTTTACAAAGCCAGTGACTGCTGCTGCCTTCTGATCAGACAGAGATGAGAGTGCCAGCGAGCAAAGAGCGCTGCAGTCATGTGATAGGCTACCAATGCACGGGATTTATTATAGGGCCTATTGCTTCAGAACACCACCATAAAAGAAAACAACGTCACTTAATGTTATGACAATTCTATTGCCTTATGTATCCAACTCTCAAATTGGTGTGTAATGCCATGGAGCCTATGACTGGTCCACCTATAAATTGCTTTTTGACTTGACATGGCCATGACGGCATAGCATGAGCTGTAGGCTAAACCATTTCCTGCGCTGTACACGAATTGTGATATGCATTACATGATAGACTCTTGCATTTGTTGTATATGTCCGCTCGAAAGGCAATTCATTCCTGGCTTTTCAATGAAACAGTGGTCGCGGCAGTCATGGAACTGTCCATGGTGCTGAAATGTTGAAATGTTGTTTTTGGCGTTGGCACATCAGTTTGTTGTGTTGTTGACTTTGCTCAGTTGAAATCTAGTTCTCACTTAGGCTTGCCTTACAGCATTGATTAAAGCAACCACTTTCAACGCTATTCGCCTACCAAAAAATGATACACCTAGATTGCATAGATGGCCTACAGACCTACATATCTATTTGCAAATCCTTGAAAAAGAGACGGAAGTGTAATTTCCCATTGTTGCCAACTCTGTGTCATCATATAGGCATAGAACGTCTAGCCTGAATACTAGTGTGTGGCCTTTATCCCACTGACCAAAAATAATACAATCAATCTCAAGTGCCTTAATCCAAAGATCACAAGTGTTGGCACTGCAGGCAATCCATGTTGCTCAAGTAGGCCTACATTCACCCTACAATAAAACTATATTGTCTTGGTCAGAACTGCATTGGCCAGGCGCAATAAGTTAGCAATAGCTTCAAGTGAAAATGTTTTTGTTTGCCTCTCTTCAAACTTCACATTTCTGGTTGGATGTTTTATTTTTCACCCCGTCTATTTTCGTATTATTTGTTCATTATTTGCTTAAACTTTTTATCAGTAGCCAATGTATGCATTAGCTATCTAATTTATGCCACATTAAATAGCATTGATATCTATGTTGATAGCGGTCTATGGTTGATTGGGAACCTCATATCCCGTCATACATTTCGTCCATGTGACATATGTGGACCAATCGCCAGGTTGTCCCATGCTATATAAAGCAACAGACGGCGCGTTTTCATTCTCTTCAATTCAAGCTAAAGAAGTGCGATGGTAAGTCACACTCGAACGAATTACCACTCGGCGTCTCCGTTTATATTTAAGTGAAAGTTTTTCTACTTATTTGCTAATATCACATGTTTTCAGAAAAGCGCGTAGCTACGTGAATGTTAGAATAGGGGTTCTGGTATTTTGCTACTGTTAACGTTACCTAGCTAGGCTAACTAGTTAACTTCCGGCGGGACCTGCATATTCTTGTGACTTAGTTGATTATATAGCTAGCTGGTTAATTTGGCAACTAAGTATTTGTCAAGCTAATGTTAATCGTAAAGTTATGTGCAATTTCAAGCTAATGTTTATCTACTCTAACTAGATGCGTCTTCTTGCTAGCTACGCTGGCCTGTGATTTCCACGTGGGCAGTATTGCACGCGGCCCTAAAGATGCCGATTCATTCCTCTTTTCTGGCTGAATCTGTCAAAAGCCAAAAACATTTGACCGACTGCCGCTGTTAAGTTCTTGTAACTTATCAGCAACAATTTGGGAAAGCATATTGACCTTTTGTTATAGTTAGCTAGTAAGTTAACTATGGCATGCCAAACATTCAGCTAGGTAGATGGCTATAACGTTCCATTTTTGTACAGTGTAAGCCTACACTGCTGGCTAAGGGTAGCCCTACTGAGCATACCTAACGTGATGCCCTCTGATTCTAGGAAAGACTTCAACAGGCATACGATTAACACTGCCCAACCCGATAGCGCTGAATTGATACTGCAGCACAGGTGAGCACTATCACAGAACTGGAATCTCGGTTCAACCCATCCTATAAACCCAGGCCCCTATCGAAGCCGTTTCTGCTCTCTTGTAGCAGACACGGTCAACAGGATGCCAAAAACATTACTTTCACCGACGGTCGCTGTGCAGTTCGACAGTAACTGACACCGCAACATTAAGGGGAAGGACATTCCATGTACACCTGTATCTAGAAAAAGTTGCTCACGACTGATTTAAGTTGAGACTCCTAATTGAATTGCTTCCCTATACTCGCTACAGGTCAATGGCATCATCTGAGCAGACCCTAGACAGTGGATGAACAAACGGGTTATGCAGAAGGTACATATGTTCTCAAAATGAGTTCCAGATGTTTCAAACCACATTCAGGCTGTGATGATACACTTGCCCTCACTTAGAGGAGTGCCTCGATGCTGAGAACTTAGTACTCGTCTGAGCCAAGATTTAGCGTAGACTAAACTCAAATTAATGTAAATGATTTAGGGTTGACTAACGTGTACTTTTTTTTTACCTGGTCCTAATTTTCTAACGCTCTCTACAGGATTAAAATGTATGTCTGAAGAGGCTTCACAAACTGGGATGAGAATGAACCAGTGGAAATTGATGGGAGGTAATTCAGATGCAGACTTTCTAAATGTCCCTTTGTCATTTTGGCTGTGATGACACACTTGCCCTCACTTAGAGGAGTACCTCGATGATGAGAACTTATAGTACTCGTCTGAGCCAAGGTATTGCATTGGAGGTCATTGATGTAATATGGGGTTGACTATGCAGAAAATGTGTAGCTTTTTACCTGACTAATTTTCTCGACGCTCTCTACAGGCTTAGACCCTCTGAACAGACCAGTGATATTGAGAATTAACCACTGGACATTCTAACGGTAATTCAAAATGTTCCCCTTTCATTATGGCTGGTAAGCCCCTTTTTTTTTTTTTGTTCCAGTGTTGTCTGGTCTCCATGGCAGCATGCTATCCTAAGGACCCGGGCTTTGTCTGTAGCCTCTGGTTCTCCAAGTGCATGCCAGAGAAATGGGGAGTCTTTGACTGTCCTGGCCTCTCCTTGCCTGTGGTAGTCACTCTACTGTCCTACAGATTTAGTTGCATCTTTGAACTGTAGTTGCCTAGATAGCAGGATTTACATTAGTGAAACTTGTGGTGCACTGATGAATTTCATGTCTGACTGGGTCTCTCTCTGCAGGGATGGCGGTACAGGTGTGCCTCAACACTGCATTGAAATGTCCCAATCCAGGTTCACTGATGGGAATGGCCGTCCGTAGGTACATACTGAATATTGTAGATTTCTAGGAGAGTGCTTGTGATGGATATTCTTTGGAAGGCCTGGTGTTTTGGTCAATGATACTGTTCTATTTGACCGTTGGCTGAAACATGTGGATATGGGACTTTGATCAAAGCCAATCCCTAATGTTATATGTATCAAGATGCTAAACTTTGATTTGCAGGTCTTACAACTGGCTCTCTGGGTGACGCGGCTGGCGCTGAAATTCCACTCATGTTGATATGGCTGTATTCCAGGGCTTTAAGGTACGTCAAATTGATTCTTTGTCTCTTGTGCTGATCACTTACTCATCTTTTCAGGCCCTGGTGTGTTCTGATCAATGATTGATACCTTTTAAAAATGTGACTGTTGGATGAAACATGCGGATATGGGACTGAGATCAGAATGTCAACCTTTAAAGTGTGTATGATACACATTCTCAGCCACTAAAACCAGACTCTTTTCATTCTCAGGTCTTGGTACACCAACCAGTCTGTAAGGAAGGTGCATGAGGCCCCCATTCTGTACACCAAGGTGATTCTCTGGCCAGTCACTTATTGCCTTTCGGTTGCATTAGGAGTCCTGTTCACAGGGATGTATATAGGTTGACTAACTGTCTTGAATTGTGCGGGACTGTCTCATCCCACAACCAACATGTTCTGCATTTTGTCAACAAATATAACGCTACTAATTTACAAACATTTCAGTCCTCTGTCATTCCAACTTGTCTTTTGCATTAGTCGTGCTTGTGGTACTGGTAACACTTTCAATTGTCATTAGGTCTTTGGCCGTCATTGTAAATAACTTGTTCTTAACTGACTTGCCTAGTTAAATACAATTTGGTAAGAGATCTGATAATCTGGAATGTTATTTACAAAAGACTAGCTGTAGACAAATGTCATCAAATCCTAGTATGGATCCTACAATGTGATTTGATGACATTGGTCTACAGCTAGTCTTATAAATTAGGCTGAAAGATGTATGTAACTTTGTCAAACTTGTGGTGAGTTTTTGGCCTGCTTAAACTGGGCGACTGGGTTCGTCAACCTGAGCACGCACAAATAAAGATCACACATATTAAAGTCTGGAGTTCATGCTTTATTTGAATCGTTTTAGACGTTGTGAATTCAGCCCATTTCAGAGTAGGTCAAGTCAAAGGCTTTTCAGTGAATTGTGGTCTTTGAAAGCTCACAGCTTGTTTCTGCTCTCCCAAAATACCAAATTGAAGTGTTATGAACTTTATGGTCTTGTGATTGGGTGGTTCTGGGACAGGCAACTCACAATACTTCGGTCCTGATGTATTGTGATTTGATGTTCTAAAAATTTATTGTCATGTTTTCTGCTGCGGGACAAGGGCCATGAATGAGTTTTGATCAGTCATGGAAATACAGCTGTGGACACATTGGCACCCTTGCACTTTTTCCTAATAAACAATTTCTTCCTGAACTGAAATTAAATATTCTCATATCCACATGTTTTGCTAGTCAAATTGATGTTGACCAATTTAAATGTTAGTGTATTCCAGACCAATATTGGCACCTTTTAGAAGTAGGTAGAAATAATTAGATTACAAGCAGGTGATTCTCTTTTACTTTGGATTTGAACTCACCTCTCAAATGTTATTGCGGGTGTTATTGTTCCTAGCTTCAACAGTGCAGTATCTTACAAATAACCTGTGAGTTGCAGGTGCCTGCAATATAAAAACCACATTCAACCAGTTTGAATAGAGAAAAGGACTCATTCTAGTGTGCTGCAAAGAACCAGAATTATCTGAAGAGGTGAGACCAGATTGTAGCTACACGTCCACCTCCAGAGGCCTTGATGTTATCAAGCAGTTTAAGACCATGCCACTGGCCACAACAGAGGCCTTGATGGAAGATCGCAGCATTCAAATCTGTCGCCAACTCAATGAAACTGGGTTATGGTAGGAGACCCAGGAAAACCCCACTGCTGAGAAACAAAGGCTGACTGCAATTTTCCAAAATCCTTCTGGGAGAATGTCCTTTGAACAGATTACAACTTCGTGGTGTACTTCACCATCTCTGTTTACAGAAAACAAAATTAAGCCTTCATAGAAAATAACACCTTCCCTACACTCAAATGTGGATGTTTTGGGGTTGGTGCCTTGAATGTGTGCATGGCATCATGAAATCAGGAGAATATCAAGGCATTATGGACATGTCAGACCCAGTGTCAGAAAGCTGGGTCTCTGTCGAAGGTCTTCCAGCAGGACAATGACCCCAAACACTTGGTCCAAGACAAAACGCTGGACTGTTCTGAATTGGCCAGCAATGAATCCAGATGTGGAGCGATCTGAAAACAGCAGTTGGGAGAAGACACATTTCAAATCTGCCAGTACAGAGGTGCAGTAAGCTCATTGATGGCTATAGAAAGCACTTGATTGCAGTTACTTTGACCAAAGGCTGTGCTACCAAATATGAAGTCTAGGGTGTCAATTTTGTCAATGGATATACTAAGTTCTGAATAAAAGGTTATGTAATTAACAGTGAAATAAAGAATTGTGGAGACCAAATACTTTGGTCAATTTCAACTTACACTGCTCAAAAAAATAAAGGGAACACTTAAACAACACAATGTAACTCCAAGTCAATCACACTTCTGTGAAATCAAACTGTCCACTTAGGAAGCAACACTGATTGACAAATTTCACATGCTGTTGTGCAAATGGAATAGACAACAGGTGGAAATTATAGGCAATTAGCAAGACACCCCCAATAAAGAAGTGGTTCTGCATGTGGTGACCACAGACCACTTCTCAGTTCCTATGCTTCCTGGCTGATGTTTTGGTCACTTTTGAATGCTGGCGGTGCTTTCACTCTAGTGGTAGCATGAGACGGAGTCTACAACCCACACAAGTGGCTCAGGTAGTGCAGCTCATCCAGGATGGCACATCAATGCGAGCTGTGGCAAGAATGTTTGCTGTGTCTGTCAGCGTAGTCTCCAGAGCATGGAGGCGCTACCAGGAGACAGGCCAGTACATCAGAAGGCCGTAGGAGGGCAACAACCCAGCAGCAGGACCGCTACCTCCGCCTTTGTGCAAGGAGGAGCAGGAGGAGCACTGCAAAATGACCTCCAGCAGGCCACAAATGTGCATGTGTCTGCTCAAACGGTCAGAAACAGACTGTATGAGGGCCCGACGTCCACAGGTGGGGGTTGTGCTTACAGCCCAACACCGTGCAGGACGTTCGGCATTTGCCAGAGAACACCAAGATTGGCAAATTCGCCACTGGCGCCCTGTGCTCTTCACAGATGAAAGCAGGTTCACACTGAGCACGTGACAGAGTCTGGAGACGCCGTGGAGAACGTTCTGCTGCCTGCAACATCCTCCAGCATGAGCGGTTTGGCGGTGGGTCAGTCATGGTGTGGGGTGGATTTTTTTTTTAAAGTTTTTTTTTTTTTCTCTCCATGTGCTCGCCAGAGGTAGCCTGACTGCCATTAGGTACCGAGATGAGATCCTCAGACCCCTTGTGAGACCATATGCTGGTGCATTGATGCTATGGACTGGCCCGCCCATTCCCCAGACCTGAATCCAATTGAGCACATCTGGGACATCATGTCTCGCTCCATCCACCAACGCCACGTTGCACCACAGACTGTCCAGGAGTTGGCGGATGCTTTAGTCCAGGTCTCAGGAGACCATCCGCCACCTCATCAGGAGCATGCCCAGGCGTTGTAGGGAGGTCATACAGGCACGTGGAGGACACACACACTACTGAGCCTCATTTTGACTTGTTTTAAGGACATTACATCAAAGTTGGATCAGCCTGTAGTGTGGTTTTCCACTTTCATTTTGAGGGTGACTTCAAATCCAGACCTCCATGGGTTGATAAATTTGATTTCCATTCATAATTTTTGTGTGATTTTGTTGTCAGCACATTCAACTATGTAAAGAAAAAACTATTTAATAAGATTATTTCATTCATTCAGATCTAGGATGTGTTGTTTAAGTGTTCCCTTTATTTTTTTGAGTAGTGTATTTTTAGGGACAATTGTGAGTTACATGAAAAGGGTGCCAATATTTTTGGCCACGACTAAGTGAATGTTGGCTCACCACTTAAAGATGAACAAGCTAGAGGAGCCATGTCAGAGTTTTGGCACAGCCGACGTTAACTATCCTAGTAAAATAAATCTAATTGATGGGGATATTTTACGATATTAAATCTTTTCCCCATCCCCTAGCTTACCTAAAACAATTCCAGTCACTTAAAACTAGCTTATTAGTGTCTCCATACATAGGGGTTGATTGCAAAACTGCCTAGCTGACTGGTGCCAGTCCACAAACCTGAGGACACCACTGCTAAATGGATTTTTAGGGTTACGGCATGTGCCCAGTTTGCCCGGAACAGGGTCGTTCCTATTTATACAAAATCCTGATCAAATGACTAATGAGAAAAGCATGTAAAGGAGGAACATCCTGCTCTTCTTCTTGGTACAGTAATCCTAGATAGTGCAATCCAGACAGGTTTATAGACGAGGCAACATCACATGCATTTTTCACTGACAAAAGGGGTAAAAATCCATTGTACTACCAGTAATATTAATTTTACATAAATATCATTTCACAACGCTGGCTGAGTAACACTATCACGTCAATATAAACAGGTTGCAAGTTGTTGATCCAATGAAACCAGAAGACCCAGTCCCCCAGAATACTGCTATTACACAAGTATGCATAATACAAGTCCTGACCAATCCATTAGTTTTGTCATCTCAGAGTCCAGTCCTGTATGCCTGTCACTAACATGCATACAAATCTCCCTTGAAGTTATCAAGGGATTTTATTCTGGATAAATAAAGGTTGAAGATAATGCAGTCACTTCCTTCTCACACCAAGATAATTATACATATTCAGGACTGCATATAAATGAAATACGTCACAAAATAACCATGTCTTGTACAGCCACATGTTTATGAGGACTTCTGAGAGGCCTGTTTGACAATAACAGTTCAATTTCATGATCGTTGTCCGGAGCATATAAAAAAATACTAACAATCCCTTTCAGTTCAGGGAGGTCAGGAAAAACAATGTCTTCAACAACAAAAAAGCCAATTCATCCCTTGTCTTATGATGATCCTCCATTAAAACATCAAAAAATGTTTCAGTTTCAGCTCTTCATTGTTTCTTTCCCCCTGCAAGAAAGGAAAAGTTTGTGTGGGCAGATAAATGGTTCCAACAAAGATGGTAGTAACTAGCTACATGGTTCCAGCCCAATATAGCCTTGATTAAGTTGAGTAGCCTGAAACCGTACTGATATGCTCCATTTCACAACCAGTTTGGATTCCAGGCTAGAAAAAAACATGTCTAAGAATAAAATGGTGCCTGATTGCAGGGTGTTTGTAGTGTCGTGGCCTACCTTGTGTTCCGCAGTCACATTCATTCCTGTGAGATGGAGGGCTCAGCTATTTCGAAGTCTGGGGTGCTGCTGCCGCTCCGATCACTGTACGTGTCCCTACGGAGAGAAATGGGATTCATGTACTTACACCAACACAATATTATGTATTAGAACGGCATACTGTTGCTATAAATGTCTAAGTTCCACGGCACAATATTAAATGGAGGCAGTTCTTGTAACTACGGCTGTCCATTCATTGCCAGCATGGCTGCAGTCTTTCTACATCGCTTCTGGTCAATTTAACACAGGCTTTCGACTCATTTATACTTGTATGGAATCATACTGATTCTAAGGGAATGTTCTGTGGTTACCGTGGAGACAGACGGCAGCCCTTTTGTAGGTAGCTCTGTAGTTTCCCGGCTGACGCCAGCAGGAGGCCAAAGTAGGGAGGCGATGGTTTGATGGGGCGAGAGGTGAACTCAGGATGATACTGCACCCCTACGAAATACGGATGATCTGGAAATACAGCAGAAAAGGAGACGGTGGTTAAGAGCTGTAGTTACTGTGAGGTGTGGGTAAAAAGGCATGAGCAAACCTGACCAACAACCACGTAGAGCTAATCTTTTGTCCGCCCATACACATGATCCCTGACTCTCTCGCTCTTACCGTCTAGCTCGATGACTTCCATTCTTTCTCCTTCTACGTCTTGACCCACAAAGTGAAAGCCTTTCCCCTCAAAGTGCTCCTTCAACTCTGGGTTCACCTGAGACAGGAAACAAGTTAAGCACACTGAACCCCACACACACACTAGTGACATGTAGAGAGGGGATATACAGAGAGAGAAAGTGAACATCTGACAAACCTCAAAGCGATGTCGGTGTCTCTCATCCACGTACTCAGCATCTCCGTAAAGTCTTCCTGCAATGAAACGACTATAAGCACAGAGCAGGTATGTGGTGTGATTATGACACAGTGACTTTACTCTCAAAGTTTGGTCTCTTACTTAGTATACTGTTGGTGGTCTTGAAAATGGTCCGTCTCTTTCCCAGCCTCATGGTCCCGCCCATTTGCCCAGGATTGTGTTCTGGCATGTCAATCACCTAGAACGAACCAATAAAGGAACATATTTCTGTTTGTTGGCCTTTACGACCAGTAAAGGGGAGGAGAGATCTTATGAAAGGGGAACCTACAACAGGATGCTTTGATTCGGGATCAAACTCTGTTGAGTTGGCATCTTCCCATCCTAGCACGTTCCTGGCAAACTCACACACAGCCAGCTGCATCCCTAGACACACACCTGCAAACACATACCAGTCAGGTTAACACTGCACATACATGTGGACACTTCAAATGAGTAGATTGGGCTATTTCAGCCACATCCGTTGCTGACAGGTGTATAAAATCGAGCACACAGCCATGCAATCTCCATAGACAAACATTGGCAGTAGAATGGCCTTACTGAAGAGCTCAGTGACATTCAACATGGCACCGTCATAGGATGCCACCTTTCCAACAAGTCAGTTCGTCAAATTTCTGCCCTGCTAGAGCTGCCCCGATCAACTGTAAGTGCTGTTATTGTGAATTGGAAATGTCTAGGAGCAACAACGGCTCAGCCGCGAAGTGGTAGGCCACACAAGCTCACAGAACAGGGCCGCCGAGGGCTGAAGCCCGTAGCGCGTAGAAATCGTCTGTCCTCGGTTGCAACACTCACTACCGAGTTCCAAACTGCCTCTGGAAGCAACATCAGCACAATAACTGTTCGTTGGGAGCTTCTTGAAATGGGTTTCCATGGCCAAGCAGCCGCACACAAGATCATCATGCGCAATGCCAAGTGTCGGCAGGAGTGGTGTAAAGCTTGCCGCCATTGGACTCTGGAGCAGTGGAAATGCGTTCTCTGGAATGAAGAATCACGCTTCACCATCTGGCAGTCCGATGAACGAATCTGGGTTTGGCGGATGCCAGGAGAACACTACCTGCCCCAATGCATAGTGCCAACTGTAAAGTTTGGTGGAGGAGGAATAATGGTCTGGGGCTGTTTTTCATGGTTCGGGCTGCTAGGCCCCTTAGTTCCAGTGAAGGGAAATCTTAACGGTACAGCATACAATTACATTCTAGACGATTCTGTGCTTCCAACTTTGTGGCAACAGTTTAGGGAAGGCCCTTTCCTGTTTCAGCATGACAATGCCCCCATGCACAAAGTGAGGTCCATACAGAAATGGTTTGTCGAGATCGGTATGGAATAACTTGACTGGCCTGCAAAGAGCCCTGACCTCAACCCCATCGAAACCTTTGGGATGAATTGGAACGCCGACTGCGAGCCAGGCCTAATCGCCCAACATCAGTGCCTGATCTCACTAATGCTCGTGGTTGAATGGAAGCAAGTCCCTGCAGCAATGTTCCAACATCATGACTGCCTGCCACCGATACATCCCATTTTGTACCTAGGAAGGGTTTCTTCTGTTTGCGTGCCCAGTTGATAGCCTGAATCTTCCCTTCTGTCCCTCTGACTCCAAACCCTCCAGGTACCAGGATACCACTGTGGAGGGAAACACCATAATGAACATATAGATTCACTATACTGTCCCCCTTCACTACCAGTACAACAGAGTCCAACTGACCACCTGTGATGCTATAACTCAGTGTTTCACAAAACTCTTCTTGTCCCCAGCCACTTCTACTTACTTGATGTATTTAAATTTAAGCATACCTGATTCAACTGGATAAATCAGGTGTGCTGGTACTGGACTACCATAGATAAAATAATTAGAACTGGCTGGGGGTACAAGAAGCGGATTGGAAAACAATGCCATAGCAGGTGCCTGGACCCGACCATACTCACTCAGCACTGCAGAGTTTTTGCCACGCCTCGTGGTACTTCACAGGCTCCTCCTTCAGTGCGTTTGGCTCCAGGTCTGCTGAGTCAATATACTGAGAAAGAGAGAAATTGTGGGGAGAGGGAGAGAAGGGGGAGAAGTGAGAAGGGGTTGCTATTTTAGGTGTCTCAAGACACATGATAGGACGTATCTTATCCTAGTTATGACGACTGCACAAACAAATAGATTTCAACATGCAATCACATTGTATAGCAGCATCTTCTATTTTCAAAATAAAACCTATTCATGAGGTCATCCAAGGAACAGTATAATTTAGCCTTGCTGTGTAAGAAACTCAATAGAAAACCTGTGCATGGCAGTGTATCTTCAAGGTGCTTGTGGTTCTAGGGCTGGTTTCCCCAGACACAGATAAAGCGTAATCCTGGACTAGAATGCGTTTTCTACATTAAAAGTGTTTCTTAGTCCAGGACTAGTCTTATTATATGTCCAGAAAACCGGCCCGTAGTGCCTTTCCAAGTGTGTCGTTTGTACATGTGTTTTAGCCTGGCTCTGTGTGTGTGTTTACCTTGATCTCCAGTTTGTGGCTGATGGCTAAGGCCGAGTGTTCTAGAGCTTTGATGACTGACGCGTAGGAGTCTGTGAACTTGGTGTATTTCCCCACCAGGGCTATAGAACACTGCTCTAGGAGCCTGTCTGACCTGGGATTCAAACACACACCATTGGCAAGGTTAAATGCCACGTTCAAAACAACTCAGAACTCGGAAATCTCCAACTTCAGTGTGTTCAAGACTACAGGGAACTCGGGGGGGGGGGGGGGGGGACTAGCTCCGGCTGGGAAAAATTGTTTTGAACGGTCATCCAACTCGGAATTCCAAGTCAGAAACTCTAGCATCTTTCTAGGGCTCCGACTTTCGACCTAAAGTTCACTGACGTCATGATTTGACCTTTTACATTTACATTTTAGTCATTTAGCAGACACTCTTATCCAGAGCGACTTACAGTTAGTGAGTGCATACATTATTATAAAAAAATAAAATCATACTGGCCCCCCGTGGGAAACGAACCCACAACCCTGGCGTTGCAAACGCCATGCTCTACCAACTGAGCTACATCCCGGCCGGCCATTCCCTCCCCTACCCTGGATGACGCTGGGCCAATTGTGCGCCGCCCCATGGGTCTCCCGGTCGCGGCCGGCTATGACAGAGCCTGGATTCGAACCAGGATCTCTAGTGGCACAGCTAGCGATGCAGTGCCTTAGACCACTGCGCCACTCGGTTGAGACCGAGTTTCTTTCTTTGAGTTCCCAGCTGTCTTGAAAGCACAAATAATCTGAATACAGGTCACTCCATAGTGCTGCAATAGAACAGGTGAATAGGCACAGCACCCAAACAGCATCATTACATATAGTATCTCTGTAGTTTTCTCACCCAGACATGTAGTTCTTTATCCAGGGGTCAAACTCAAACATGGTGGGTCTAAATCAGGGCTGTTCTATTCCGGTCCTGGAGGGTCGAAACATCTGTTTTTTGTTTCTACCTGGTAGTTAATTGCACTCACCTGGTGTCTCAGATCTGAATTAGTCCCTTATTAGAATGACTGACATTGAACAGCCCTGGGCCCGGTTTCCCAAAAGCATCTTAAGGCTGAGTTTTCAAGACCACCAACAGTATACTAAGTAAGAGACCACAGTGTCATAATCACACCACATACCTGCTCTGTGCTTATAGTCGTTTCATTGCAGGAAGACTTTACGGAGATGCTGAGTACGTGGATGAGAACCACAATGGTTCTAATGATGAACTTAGCCTTAAAATGCTTTTGGGGAAACCGGGCCCTGGTCTAAATAATTGAGTGCTACCAGCCCCAGAGACCGCCTTGCCAGCACACCTGTCAGACACACTCACCCACCTGTCAGACATCTCCTTCCACTTGGTAAGCATCTTCCTGGGGCGTGTCTCTATAGGAAGGTCTAGTCTCTGACAGAAGTAGCCCACCACCCCCTGGTCCTCCAGTAGCAGAGGCACTCTGTAGATTGACGACACGTCTGCCACGCAGATCACCTGGGGGAGGAGAGAAAAGAGCATACACTCAGGCACAACTAGAGGTTTCACTGGATCTCTCTCCATTCACCTTTCTTTGCATCTTCTCTCCTCGCATCCTTCTCAAAAACACAGATGAAAAAGTAAATGGGGAGGAACCTTGGATATTCTCCTCCAATACGGTTGGGAAGGAGGCAAGGAGATAGGATGTGAGGAATCACTGGGAAGACTTATTGAGCCAGTGTCGTGTTCCATCCTAGTGTGTGACTGTAGGATCAGGTCTTACCTGTTCAGGTTCTACATGACAGAACATTGAGATCTTCTCTTTGACGGAGTTATCCAGGGGAGTGGAGCAGCGACACATGATCTGGGGGGAATTGAGAACACAAACAGCTAACAGGCAATCCTTGCACTTAATCTATAAATGGACAGAAAAGTGTTTATGACTGTCATACCTTGCCACGCTTAAGAGATGGTAGAAACTTGGTCAAATTTAAACTCACCAGATCAGGAGACAGGCCCAGTCCTCTGAGCTCTCTGACACTGTTCTGAGTGGGCTTGGTCTTCTGCTCTCCTGTGGCACTGGGCTGTGGTACCAGGCTGACGTGGATGTTACAGAAGTTCTCTCTCTTCACCTTGAACTGGAACTGCCGGAAGGCTTCGATGAAAGGCATGCTCTCGATGTCTCCCACAGTGCCCCCTAGCTGCACACATAAACAGACATACCGGTAAACACAATTGCACAGGAATACAACTAGTAACAACCCAGCCTGAAATGACTCCTCAAGTACATATGTCACACTAATATAAAAACCAAGAAAGGGTCTCTGGAAGTCATTGATCTACCAGTTTACCATAACGATAATCTCTTACCTCGATGACACAGATCTGAGGCTCCACACCGTCATCGTCAACAGGTACTATGGCCTGACGCATCACCCACTCCTGGATGGCATCAGTGATGTGTGGCACCACTGCAAAGGACACACCAAACAGGGACAGTTAGTCTGGAGATGCAGAGAAAATTACACAAGAGCATTTGATAGCTCATATCCTTCCTCTTTGGTTCTTCGTAGGATATGGGACGGAGGTCAGAACTGCCATTCCAGAAAAGCTTAATCAAATTCACCTCAAGTATTCAACCAAGATCTGAACTCCCATATGCCCAGTCTTTCACCCATCATGACTTGGTTTGACCCTGTACAGTCTTTCCCAGGTAGTCTCCTCTTCCTGTTGATGACAGACCGGTAGATCTTCCTCTAACCCCTGATTATACCGTTTCTCCCCAGTCATCCTAGCCCTTATCCCACACTGTCTTATAGGGAGTCTTACCCTGTACGGTCTTTCCCAGGTAGTCTCCTCTCCTCTCCTTGTTGATGACAGACTGGTAGATCTTGCCAGTGGTCAGGTTGTTGTCTTTGGTCAGTCTGATGTCTAGGAACCTCTCGTAGTTCCCCAGGTCCAGATCCACCTCACCCCCATCGTCCAGCACAAACACCTCACCTGGAGAGAGACCAGAGGAACAGGGTTAAAACCCCTCACCTGGAGAGAGACCAGAGGAACAGGGTTAAAACCCCTCACCTGGAGAGAGACCAGAGGAACAGGGTTAAAACCCATCACCTGAAAAAAGTAGTGGCATGGTTAAAACCCTAGCCAACACAAAAAACACCTGATTCTGCATATTTTTATTGATGTTCATGTCTCCATCTGTATTGATGTTGATCTAGATTATTGATGTTGCTGTACACTTCTGTGCACACACAACACCAAGATTAATTCCTAGTAACATTTATTGCATGGCAATAACGTTCTCTGATTCTGACTACTGTGCTTGAGCAGTCATTCCATAACAAACCAAGAATAGCACTTGGGAGGCCTCATGGCATATAATATCTTTGACAGTGTAGTTTTCAACCTATTTTAGTTAGTTAGCATTTTTTTCTGTTTCATGACCCTGGACTTCCTGTTGAGAAGCACTGGTGTAGATCATGTTTTAGATAAAAATATTTTGTGAACAAAGTTACACCGCATACACAACACAGATCTCATAAACTAATGGGATACAGAACATAGAAATAAAATGACATTTTCATAGAATTCACTATTTCTATGATACAGAACATTTCCTGGACTCACCGTGCTCGTACGGAGAGAAGGTCCCAGCGTCTATGTTGATGTATGGGTCGATCTTGATGGCGGTGACGCGCAGACCACATGACTTGAGGATGGTTCCCACGCTGGATGCGATGATCCCCTTCCCGATGCCAGAGATGACGCCACCAGTGACCAGGATGTATTTCATTGTTGCACTGAATAGGAGAAGGCTATGGCGGTCATGACATTTTGTCAGCCGGTTATTGTCACACAAAAGACTGCCGGTCTCACGGTAACAGTCCATTAATTAACATAAACATGTTTAGAATCTCCAGGCCTCCACGCATACAAGCCGCTGATGCGCGCCTTTGGAACATCTCAATTTAAAAAGTCTAATAAATCAATTGAATATACACCATCACAATAAATCCATTATTTATTTTATTCAGGTCTAAAGAAACATTATGCTATGAAGAAAATGTATTTCAGTTGACCTACTCTTATCTGGCTATGCGGTATGCCGCATATAAGGCTTGTTCATTTAGCAGACAAGATATGTTTATAAGTCCCGTGGCATTATTTATATTATATGATTTTATAGTAAGAAGAATATAATTGAACTTAGCTGAATAAAATAGAAAATACATTTTTCCCATTCCGGAGCGAGTGCACATATGAAGTGGCTATGTTGAGTGTAAAAGTGATCCTTTGAAACAGGTGCTATACACTTGATGTAGTTATTTGGCAACTTTAGTTGTGAATGACACAAACCTTAGAATGCCTTAGAAATTAAAAGATATATGGGCTGCATGATGCGACTACAGGCTATTGATGATTTGAGAAAGTCACAAAAAAAGCTTGCGATCTGTTTCTTGCCTCCGGCTGCACACGCTGTTCTCTCTTCAAGTGATCATATTTTCACCCATCAGACTATTCTCAATTTAATCTTGCCTTTACTAATCTGTAAAATTTGATTTGATTTAGAACGGCCTATTATTAAATGGACAGGAGAAAAAAGACATGTCATCCGTATGCACTGGAATAGCGAATGGAGGCCACTTTCCCTCGTTCGTGGGGTAGGTTACTCCTGTTATTTCACTCCATACACCAACCACTGTTTGAGGAGCATGCAGCCTCTCGCTGCGCGACAGGTGATATTCCTCCCAAACTCTGTATGCCATGGGCTCTCCAAACCTGTTCCTGCAGCTATCCAGTGCTTGATTTGGGAAACCAAGTGAAATCTGTCGGGAACATCGATAGTAAAATGTTTTTACAACAAAACATATTTCATTAAACTGTTGACAGCCCTCTCTCTGCGCGCTTGAAGTTGGAATGAAGGAGAGAGCGGAAGAGATGGAAACGCACGGTGGTGAGATATTCTGTAGCTAAAGGTAATGTCAGCCTATTAATTATGAAAATGTAAAAAATGCCTTATTACTAGGCTATTCAAAACCAAATTCACTATAATTGTAGGCTAATTCTGAATTTGTTTAATTTAGGCTACCAATTATGTACCAAAGAGATTAAATCGTTTGTGTTTTTTTTATTTTTTATGTTTTTCTGCAGTGCATAATATACATAGGATATGTATTGTATAACCACACAATCGTTATTTTAATTCAGGTTTTCTTTCAGGATTGGGCTCATATATAGGCTTATGCATAAGCTCTAATATGCATATGCGTTTTTTGAATTAATCATCACCTTAGAAAGCGCTGCCCATTTCATTATGTTAGGCTTTGAAACAACATCCATTCAGTTTCAACCTGTTGTTGATTGATCAATCACAGTGAGGTGAGTTTTAAAAGTACATACTGTTTTGAGGTGTCTTCCTGATTCCTATCGTTCTGTCCGCTTTATCACTGACCATGCGCACGGTGGTACAGTACATGCAAAGACCGTACAGTATGAGAAACTCCGGTACCCGGCAGAGAAGGCGCATGCATCTGAGGAATCACAGTACTTTAAAAATCGAACTACCTTCAGTGGTTACAACAACCAAGTAAATGCAACAATGTACAACTATTTTGAACGTTAATAAACGTTGCAGTTAGCCATCACACCAGTTGTAATATAAGCAGTGGCGACCCGTCATTCATTGAGCCCCACATTTAACAAAAAAAAAAAACAGGCTTGCCTGTTTCGCATGTTATTTTGCCATTAATGCGTGTCACATATCAGTTTGCAAACTATGTAAAAAACTAAAAAATTGTTGAGTTAATAAAGCCACATACGAACAGGGTCTCTTTTTTGTTTCTTGAGTAAGGCAGCTCCAAAATGCAGGTGTTTCAGCCCAGCTCAGTGCTTTCGGTGGTGGTGGGGCAAGCCAGCAGAAAATACGGGTGATTGGCTCAGTGTTCTCACTCACCGGGGACACTATGTCACCGAAGTCTAAGGGTAGATTAAGAAAATTCAAGCCCCTTGGGTTCTGCCATAGAGTTACATTAGAAGTGCCCATCCAAGAAGGCTGAAGGTCATTGGCCACAGATAAAATGAAGTCAAATCACGTTATATGTACAGTAGACTGATCATGTCAACATCTTACTTTCAAAATCTTAGCTAGCAGTCATCATCATGAATCAAGTCGACAATCTACTGGCAAATCCTTTTTAATCCTTGTCATATGAAGATAAATAATTAAGATAAATTATAGATAAAACGTATCGGTGCTCATCAGCCATTGGACATAAACATTACACAACAAGTTGGAAATCGCAAATTCAACAATGAGTGGTTTGGAAGGAATCGGTGACAGTGGTGACAAGCATTGCAATTGGGAAGTCGGGAATAAACGAGCTCCGACTGGGAAAATTCGTTTTGAACGGTCATCCAACTCGGAATTGTAAACCCGGCCTCTTTCTCTTTCTTTGATGACAACATTTCTCATGAAGGACCGCTGCGCCACCTTCCTGTTCAAGTGAGCACAGCATAACAAGGTGAGTCCAAATATGTATTGTATGCTGCTGCATAAATGATGTAATATGCCAGGGAGAAATGTATACTGTAGCTAAGAAAGTAATACTAAGTGTATGTTGTTTAGTAAGCGGTTAATAGCCCATGTGCCTCACCCTAACAATTTGGTCCCTTTTCCACTCATAATTAAGCCTACTGTTCTGACATGGTGGTGCACATGTAGCCTATAGCCTATTTTAGAGAAATGTAATCATCAAATATTGTAAGAGCTTTCATTGTCTGCTTATATGCCCCCTTTATTTATCCTACGGTTCTGATTTGGTGTACAGGGAGAATACTGTAAGAACGGCCCATGTTCTGAATTCTGTCACTGTACATTTCAAAAGTACTCCTGAGTGGCGCAGTGGTCTAAGGCACTGCATCGCAGTGCTAACTGTGCCACTAGAGATCCTGGTTCGAATCCAGGCTCTGTCAACCCGGCCGCGACCGGGAGACTCATGGGGCGGCGCACAATTGGCCCAGCGTCGTCCAGGGTAGGGGAGGGAATAGCCGGCAGGGATGTAGCTCAGTTGATAGAGCATGGCGTTTGCAACGCCAGGGTTGTGGGTTCGATTCCCACGGGGGGCCAGTATAAAAAAATAAATATCTATTCACTAACTGTAAGTCGCTCTGGATAAGAGCGTCTGCTAAATGACTAAAAATGTAAAAATGTAAAAAAGTGCTGAACAAATAGTTATATTGACTACATCTGTCCTAGCTCGCTCATTGATGTATTCGTGGTAATTATGGATTGCCTCTCATCTGCTCGTCGTCACCTTATGCCATAGTTGTACATCTCAATTGTCTGTAGAAACTACATTTGTTTAAGCAAGTCAGCCATGTTTTTTTTTTTTAAGGCAGTAAAGGAGGCTGAATGAACTGTTTCGCTGTCAGACAAGGCTCTGCTAATAGCCATGTCTAGCTGTGGTAAGGTTTTGGGACTGCTGTTGGGACAGCTTTATGTAGGCCCTAATAGTTTGTGGGCACCGTTTGTCACCGTTATAGTGCAATTAATGTATTGTTTAGTGGTGTGTTGTGTAGTGGCTTACTGGCATGCATCTAAAACATTTGAGTTTGCCCCACCAAGATTTACATGCTAAAATCGCCACTTAACACGAGTTACCTAGAGGTCTTGCAACATATAAAGTAACGTTAGCTAGCTAGTTACTGAGCAGTTAGCTTTACTAGCTAGTTAGCTAGCTATCCTATCCCATTAACAATAGCTGTGAGCCACACTAGCCGGCCAGCGATCTAAACTGAATCCTAGGCCAGTGCACGAATCGATGTACCACGCGCCCAAACCTACGTCGGATTACCGTGCAAGAAATATACAAAATGCTGACTCCAAGGACAGCTAGCCCGAGGACTCCATCACATGGCAACTGAGCTAGCAAATTAACAGTCTAGGCTACAGTTATGTTCACAAAGCATGTTTTTCAACTCACCAAAAATAAATGCTGCACTGCGGTCAAACGGTAAGTCTTCGAACTAAATTGTCACAGTATAGAACAATTCTTCCTTTAAATCTCTAATAAAAATAATAATAATTGATTTAGAATGTAGCTAGCTACGGTCCATCCACTCCAACACGTGTTGATTTGCCAATCTACTACTAGTGATGGGTCATGCGCACAAGCATCGGCTCTGAGAGCCGGCTCTTTGTAGTGAATCAGAAGAGCCGGCTCGCATCGAGTGAGAGCCGGCTCCCAGTTTTTTGCCCATTCGCTGCTTAGGTTTCACTTTCACAGAGGTCTGTTATGATTGGCCAGCATGGCGACCAGCATGCGGCATTCACGTGAGAATTAAGGATGTGTAAACAGAGAGGGGGCGGGGCAGACACACCACTTGACTCCACTGCAAGTGAAGAGAGAGACAGAGCGGACTGAGGAGCGTGTGTGCGTCTTGCATTGTCGTGTCGTTTAACTATGAGTGACACTAGAAAGCGAAGCAGCATCTGGCTGCAGTTTAAAGATATTGGGAACAAGAAAGCAGAGTGCCTTCACTGCAAAACGAAGGTCACTATAAGAGCAGGTTCCACCACAAACCTGCATAGACATACAAGAACTGTCCATCCTACAGTGCAGTTAGAGGAGAGAGGGCAAGCCAGCTCACCATCTACTGATCCTGGTGTGTCTCATACCAGAACAACAGCTGCTGTAACGTCTACTGCCATCCCCATGCGTGCAAGTATAACCTCTCCTACTGCAACTCAAAGCAAAATAAGTCAGTTTTTACCTAAACTGATGACCCCAGCCAAACAGCACAGTATTGATGATGAGTTGGCTAAAATGGTAGCTTCTGATTTTCAACCCTTTTCCATTGTGGAGGACAAAGGAATGAAAAACTTTGTCAAAGCCCTAAATCCCACATACACTCTACCCAGTAGAAAAACACTTTCCCAAACAATGATCCCAAAACTATATGACACAGAACGTGCATTATGGCAAGAAAGGGTGACAAAAGCTCCATCAGTTTGCCTGACAACTGACTGCTGGACCTCCAGAACAACCTGCTCTTTCATGTCTGTCACTTGCCACTTTATTGAAGATTACAAGATGACATCTTGCCTTCTGGACTGCTTCGAGTTCACCGACAGACACACTGCAGAAAACTTGGCAGTGGAGCTACTAAGAGTGGCAAAAGAGTGGCAAGTAGAGGACAAAGTGGTGTGCTGTGTGAGTGATAATGCTGCAAACATCACCAAAGCCATAAAAGTTTTGAAGTGGACCCATCACCCATGTCTGGCGCATACACTAAACCTGGTGGTTAGAGATGCTCTGAAGGTGATCAAAACAACCGTGGATAAGGTGAAGGCTGTTGTGGAGTTTTTCCACAAAAGCACAGTAGCAGCACAGAAGCTAAAGTCCACACAGCGCCAAATGGGGATTCCTGAACTGAGGCCCAAACAAGAGTGTGCCACCAGGTGGAACTCAACATTTGATATGTTGAAACGAATGCTTGAAATAAAAGATGCCATCATCTCCACCCTGGCCCTCATCAACGCATCTATTGAGCCATTAAGCCAAGAGGAATGGGAGCTGGTGAAAGAGGTCTGCGCCGTCCTGCAACCATTCCAGGAGGTGACTGTGGAGATAAGTGCAGACAGGTACCTAGAACCATTGAAGCATTGTTTTCTCTACTACTATTCAGTCACTATTATACATTGCAAACACAACACATACAGTATAATGCATCACGTATAATATGCCACATACTTTTAAAAAACTAAATTCTAAAAGTTGCTGTTTTCTCTCCTTCAGCTATGTCACAGCCTCGAAAATGCTCCTGCTTTGCAAAGGTCTGCAGCTGGTGACAGCCGAGAACCAATGGACAGTAACTGTGCAGAAAGTGAAGGAATTAGTTGCAGCTCTTTGTTCAGCCATGGACCGCAAATTTCTGCGGATGGAGTACAACACTGTCCTTTCAGAAACTACCTTATTGGATCCAAGGTTTAAAAAACTTGCCTTCAGTGATCGTAGAGCTGTTGATGAAGCTCTTCAGAGGATTAGTGCAGCAGCAGCAGCAAAATGCACCCCCAGCAGCCAGCCAGCTCCACCATTACAGGGCCAAGTGGAGGAGGAGCAGCAAACCTCTGCTGTTTGGAGGCTTTTTGATGACAGAGCTACAGGAGATGCTTCAAGGAGAAATCCGACAGCTGATGCTATAATGGAGGTGAGGAGCTACCTTGAGGAGCCCCTCATCCAGAGAGCAGAAGACCCACTGAGCTGGTGGCAGGCCAAGGCCTCAGTCTTTCCACTCCTGGTGAAGGTGATGGAGGGGAGACTATGTATTGTTGCCACATCAGTTCCTTCTGAGAGAATCTTCTCCAAAACAGGGCAGATACTCACGGAGAGGCGAAATCGTATCAGGCCTATCAGCCCATCCAAGCTGAGGCATCTGATCTTCCTGAATGCCAACCTGCCCTGAGGACTAATGCTGTTTGCTGGAGTTTGGTTCTGGTTTTGATTCTGTTCTGTGGATTTGTTTGAAGTTTATTGTTAATTTGTGCAATAAAAAAGTTTAATTGAAATAAACAAATGTAAGAGTGGTTTTGTCACAGAATAAATGCACAGAATTAGGCATTATAAGGTCTCTCATAAAAACACTGAAAGCAAAAGGGTTTTCAACACATAAACCATGATTTTTTTTCAAAGTTAAGGTAAAATATAGGCTACAAAAGATCCTAAATAAAGAGCCGTTCGGGAGTCGAAAGAGCCGGCTCTTCTTTGGGAGCCGAGTCAAAAGAGCCGGCTCTCAGAAAAGAGCCGAACTTCCCATCATTATCTACTACTACTACTACCAGAGCCGTACAGAAAAGACGAGCGGGTAGCGGTGGTCGAGGACACCAAGATTGCGTAGGATCTGCGCATGCACCACGCTGGAAACGGAAATATTCTTCTTCTTCATGTGGCGGACTAGACGCTATGTTGCATATTGCTGCATTTCGCAGGTCGGAGTGCGGATTGGCAATTTTGGTCACCCCTCCAAAAAGGGAAAAGGGGAATGCGAAAAACTTAAATTGCACCACCATCTAGCCCTGCACCTATGCACTATCCCCCACAAAAAAACACCCCCACCCCACTACTTTGACCCTAAATAATCCTAAACCAGGCTGTCGGCCTGGGAGGGATGGAACCACTTCTCTCAAAACTTCCTGTAGATCTTCTGCACTAAAATCTCTCACACCAAAATATTTCTCTGCTACTGCAACTACCACATCTATCTTCTGTGATTTCTGCTTCATCAGTGCAGTGCAGTTGATCACCAATGGCGATAAATGCAAGAAATCCAACCTCACTAAAATTCATCCTCTCTGGCTCTCTCTCTTCATGCCTACTCACTGGGAGCCTCCCAGTCGACTCACTCACCCTTGGCCTATCCTCTACTCTCTTCATTGCCTCAGCTTAGGAAACTTTCTGTCCCACAAACACTGGCTCAACCTATCTCTCTCACAGGGCACTTTGGTTCCCCAGCTGCACTGTCGCCCTCACAGTTGGCACACAGGTGCTTTCTCTATACCAGCTGTACACTCCCTCTGACTATGCCCTCCTGGACACTTCTCACATTGTGGGATCTCCCTTCTACACACTGCCATGTCCGAATCCTTGGCACCTAAAGCACCGAAGTGGGTTTGGAACATAGGCCCTCACAGAATAGTAGCAGATATAACCTAACCTGACCTTATCAGGAAGAAACTCTGTGTCAAAGATCAACAAGACAGATAGGGTATTCTCAGTCTCACCATTGCCACCGGTTCTACGTCTCACCAAACGACGGGCATCACAAACACTAGGAATATTCCTTTTAATTTGATAAAACTCTACACTCAATGCTACCCCGCTGATCACCCCTTTTAGCGGCACCCTGCTTCGGAGAGCAAAGCACACCACAGATTGAGCCCCGAGCCACGTGACTCGAAGCGCCCACTTCCTCTGGGAGGCGGATACACAAAAAAATCGAAACAATTCTACTTCTCGAAACTTTCACAGATGTAACCATTCCCAGTTTGTCCTTTACCGAACCCAACACAAAGTACGGGTAGGCCAAAAAGCAGTAATCCACTATTTCCAAAAATCTCACTCCTACCGGTCCAAAATCATCTCTGGTAGGATTTTCAGGGCAAACGTTGAAAGTCTCCACTACACCTGTCACCACAGGTAGGCCCACTTCATCCTGGACTGGCTCAACCTCAGAGCGCCCACCACTGCCGTCTGACTCCACTTCTAAAGAGAGCATGAAGACCTATACAGTTGAAGTCGGAAGTTTACATACACTTAGGTTGGAGTCATTAAAACTCGTTTTTCAACCACTATAGTTTTGGCAAGTCGGTTAGGACATCTACTTTGTGCATGACACAAGTACTTTTTCTAACAATTATTTACAGACAGATTATTTCACTTATAATTCACTGTATCACAATTCCAGTGGGTCAGAAGTTTACATACACTAAGTTGACTGTGCCTTTAAACAGCTTGGAAAATTCCAGAAAATGATGTCATGGCTTTAGAAGCTTCTGATAGGCTAATTGACATAATTTGAGTCAATTGGAGGTGTACCTGTGGATGTATTTCAAGACCTACCTTCAAGCTCAGTGCCTCTTTGCTTGACATCATGGGAAAATCAAAATAAATCAGCCAAGACCTCAGAACATTTTTTGTAGACCTCCACAAGTCTGGTTCATCCTTGGGAGCAATATCCAAACGCCTGAAGGTACCACGTTCATCTGTACAAACAATAGTATGCAAGTATAAACACCATGGGACCACGCAGCCGTCATACCGCTCAGGAAGGAGACTCGTTCTGTCTCCTAGATATGAACGTACTTTGGTGCGAAAAGTGGAAATAAATCCCAGAACAACAGCAAAGGACCTTGTGAAGATGCTGGAGGAAACAGGTACAAAAGTATATATATCCACAGTAAAACTAGTCTTATATTGACATAACCTGAAAGGCCGCTCAGCAAGGAAGAAGCCACTGCTCCAAAACTGCCATAAAAAAGCCAGACTATGGTTTGCAACTGCACATGGGCACAAAGATCGTACTTTTTGGAGAAATCTCCTCTGGTCTGATGAAACAAAAATAGAACTGTTTGGCCATAATGACCATCGTTATGTTTGGAGGAAAAAGGTGGTAGCTTGCAAGCCGTAGTACACCATCCCAACCGTGAAGCACGGGGGTGGCATCATCATGCTGTGTGGGTGCTTTGCTGCAGGAGGGACTGGTACACTTCACAAAATAGATGGCATCATGAGGAAGGAAAATTAGGTGGATATATTGAAGCAACATCTCAAGACATAAGTCAGGAAGTTAAAGCTTGGTCGCAAATGGGCCTTCCAAATGGACAATGACCCCAAGCATACTTCCAAAGTTGTGGCAAAATTGCTTAAGGACAACAAAGTCAAGGTATTGGAGTGGCCATCACAAAGCCCTGACCTCAATCCTATAGAACATTTGTGGGCAAAACTGAAAAAGCATGCGAGCAAGGAGGCCTACAAACCTGACTCCGTTACACCAGCTCTGTCAGGAGGAATTGGCCAAAATTCACCCAACTTATTGTGGGAAGCTTGTGGAAGGCTACCCGAAACATTTGACCCAAGTTAAACAATTCAAAGGCAATGCTACCAAATACTAATTGAGTGTATGTAAACTTCTGACCCACTGGGAATGTGAATAAATAAATAAAAGCTGAAATAAATCATTCCCTCTACTATTATTCTGACATTTCACATTCTTAAAATAAAGTGGTGATCTTAACTGACCCCTAAACAGGGAATTATTACTAGGATTAAATGTCAGGAATTGTGAAAAACTGAGTTTAAATGTATTTGGCTAAGGTGTATGTAATCCTCCGACTTCAACTGTATGTCATATTATTTGGTTTGTAATCAGGAGACGTAGGTGTATACTCAGGAGACAAATCTCTGATCTTAACAGCACCATTCCTACATTTTCGTGTCATCGCACTTCCACCACCGACCTTCCATCCACTCCCTCCTGTCAACGGTGGACAATATAAATATTGTATCCATTCGTCTCTTTCAGGATGAAAGCTCTATCAAGATGTCAATCGCTATTGTCATTTTTTGGTATGTGTACAATTTCTACAGTAATTGCATGATAGTGAATGAAACAGACAAATTATTTCCAATACAAACCAGCATACGCCGAACAGTCCACATTATGATTGAGGTGTGTCTACAGCTGATGATGAGCGGGGCAACCGGTAGGTGGCAGTATTGCTCCATCTAAAATCCTTGCTAGCTGCTTTGACAGGCTGTACATGTCAGCAAAAGGCAATAAATAAATTAGGAAACAAACTTTGTATTTAATGCATATACATATTTTGAAAAGTATATAATATATTCTGCAGTGGAGGGAGTACAGTAGCGGTGCAATGCCTCTTCGCTTTTCCCCTGGCACCTAGGCCTTAATAATTCTGTTTACATGAAAACACAAGATCACGTCCACCTTCAAACTCCTCTGTTCTACCTCGGGGGGTATGTTAGCTGTCATGTTGATGTTGACATGTGCCCTGTGCTTTCAAGCATGCAGGTAGTTTATCAGGGTACAGCACAAGCAGTACAGTAACACTTACCTCCTTGTTCACGAGTCGGCTAGTATCATTGGCATGTGTAGTAAACACAGTGTGTGTGTGTGTGTGTGTGTGTTTTGCAACACAAAGTGAGAGGGAGGTCGGATGTAGAAACCGGTTTTCCTCTGTAGGGCTGACACATCCGCTCACATAAACACACACACACACACACACACACACACACACACACACACACACACACACACACACCCCCGCTCAGCTTGGCACTCAAAAAGCACATGTTTTAGGGTGAGTTTCTGTTCAGTGTAGTAAGGCCACCCTCTCTTATGTAGGCAGGACAGAGGGGTGTGTGTGTTTTACATGAGCTCCTTCTGACGTATGGTAATTCATAGGAGCACAACACTCACATGATGTCCTCCACGCCAACACACTGGCTCCGTGTGTGTGTGCGCGTGTATGTGCACGCGTGTGTCAGACAATGTTTTGGTTCTGTACACTTTGCGTGTGGTGTGAGAATGGCAGTAGGCCTATATACAGGTGAGCAGGGTTATGTTCAATATTCCATAGGGCACACAGTAGGAAAACATTTAGAAACAGACAATGAAAAGATGTGTTCAGGTAATACCTTCCAGTTTCAGAATGTTTTTCTAGAATTAACAAGACCCTGGTAATTGAGTATTGGAGATTGGAGTCACTGACTGACAGCTGAACCAGAGGGGATGATGACCACAGCACTTCCTAGGGCTAACTGATTGCTTTAGTCCGGAAAGAGTCGTCCCACGCTAGTGAATATTATCATCAGGCCGCTGTCTCTGGGATGTAACGCTTAATGAGTCCATTTTAATTCATATCTGACCATGGCGATGATCTCATTAAACTCCCACAGTAGGACTGGCTGATTGGCAGCCTGCCTCCTCCACAAGCCATTTCCTCTGGATAGAAATGGAAAAGCAACAGAGCAGCTGATGAAGCACATGGTGCACTAGGCCTAGGTCCCCTATGCCTTGTGTGATAAAAGAAAAGAACAGGGTTTCATCCCTTTCTCAATCTTTTTGATGAAAACCTCCCTTCCTGAGCTGTGAGATTGGAGACTGGGAGGTGTAGGTAATAACATAGGGGATGGGAACAGAGAGTAATAACTTCGGGTCAGGCTGGGTTGTAATAAAGATAGGGGTCAGACCTAGTGGAAGCTCTTTAATGGTGGTGTGGATTACATTGACATGCTATTCTCTGAGCCTACCACTGACCAGGCTGATGGGATGAGTATGTGTGTGATGGGGGATGGGTAGTGAGGACTGGGTGTTCTGTCTCTCTCTCTCTCTCTCTCTCTCTCTCTCTCTCTTTTCCATCTCTCTGTCCTGTCTCTCCCTCTCTTTCCCTCTCTTTGTTCTGTTTCCCCTGTATTGTCTCTGTTTTCTTTCTCTCTCTCTATTATCTCTCTATTTTCTTCTTTAAAAGGGTTTTACTCTCTTTGTATCTTCTCCCCTTTGTCTTGTCTTCTTTTCTAAAACTCTATCTCCTTTTCTATTCCTTTTTCTATTTCCCCTCGTCTTACTTTTGTCCAAACCTCTTTTCTCTCTCCTCTTTTCTCTCTTTTCTCTTCTCTCCTTCTTTCTTCTTCCTTTTCTCTCTTTTCTTTTCTCTCTCTTCCCTTTCTGTATTGTTTTCCCTTTTTCTTAATTTCAAATTTTCTCTCTTTCCCTGGTTTTGTCATTGGGGGGCCTTTTTTCTATGTCTTTTGTCCCTTTTCTCTCTCTCTCTCTCTCTTCTCTCTCTTCTTATCTTGTCTCTGCTCTGTCTCTGCTCTTTTTGTCTCTGTCCTGTCTCTGTTTGTCTTTTTCTTGTCTTGTCTTCCCTCTTGCTCTTCTTTTTCCTATCTCTCTCTCTGTTGTGCTCTGTCTCTGTGTTTCTGTCTCTGTCTCTGTCTAATGTATCTGTGCTCTGTCTCTGTCTCTCGCTGCGCTTATGCTCCGTCTCTCTCTCTCTCTCGATCTCTCTCTCTCTTCTCTCCTCTTCTCTCTCTTCTCTCTCTCTACTCTCTCTCTCTCTCTCTCTCTTTCATATTCTTCTCCTTCCATCTCTCTTTCACCTTTCTAATCAACCAGCTATCGCCCTAGGGGTCCCAATGTCAGAGGACGGCCACAGGTATCCACACAGGGTAGTGCTCGACTCAACAATCAGAAACAACCAACCAAACCGAAACCAGCTAATAGCCATGGCAGTGTGTGTTGACGAGGTGGTGTGACGGGCGTGTGTGTGAGGGCTGTCCTCCACAGCACTTGTAGCTAATTTCATTATTCTGAGAGGATGACATTCGACCAGGGGGTTTGTACATGGTGAGATATCACACTGTCATATTGGAGCATCACACACACAAATATACACACAAAGACACACACACACACACAACAGACACACAAACAAACACACAACCAAACACCCTTTTCCCACTCTCCCATCCATCGGCTAATTACATTTAGCCCCCTGCTCCACAGTGACTGTTGGAACAGCTGGGCTTGGTGGTTCCTGGAGAACAGATACCACGAACCATGAATCAAACTACTGCTGCCGCCACGGAGAGAGAGGCGGGGGGGGGGGGGGGGGGGGGGGGGGGGGGGGGGGGGGGGGGGGAGTGGGGAGAGGGGAGAGAGAGGACAAGGACACAGTGATAGTAGTTAAAGCCTCATCCCCCACAGATCTCATTCATATCTATATCACAGGCTGAAGAGAGGGAGAGAGAAAGGCCAGCATATGACGGTTTCATTTTCCTGGCCCAACAGAACAGCATGATGTAGCTGGTTGGGTGTCTTCCTGAAAGAAAAAGTGAGAAGGTCAAAACATATTTATGCTGATAAATAAATACCATGAACTCTTCTTGGACATTACATTGTGTGGGGTCTTCCTAACTTATGTATGCCTCTATTACATTTTTACATTTACATTTACGTCATTTAGCAGACACTCTTATCCAGAGGTGCATTCACCTTATAGCCAGTGGGATAACCACTTTACAATATGTTATTTTTCTTTCTTTGGGGTGGGGTAAGGGGGGGTAGAAGGATTACTTTATCCTATCCCAGGTATTCCTTAAAGAGGTGGGGTTTCAAGTGTCTCCTTTTCCTAATATATGCCATTTAGCAGACAGATTTATCCAAAGCAACGTACAGTAGGCTACAGCATACATTTTGTATATGACTCTTGTGGGAATCGAACCCACAACCTTGGCGTTGTTAGCACCACGCTTTTACCAATTGACCCACACAGGGCTATTATTTCTCTGTGTTAGCTGGCTGTATTAGTGACCTTCCTAGACATGATGTCCAGGCCAGATGATTGGAAGTCACTGTAGTCTTCAACAGCTGTTTGATTTGCTGTCTTTAGTGGTAAAGAGACGGACATGCAAATCAATATGTCTGTCCATCTAGGGATGGGGTGTGTGTGTGTGTGTGTGTGTGTGTGTGTGTGGGCCGAGGGTGATAGTGATGATTCATAATAATACTTTTGGCACTGACCTAACTTGCTTATATCAGATTCCTTAACAACTTTGTCGATGGCTAGTTGAGGCTTGAGGTCACATGGTCTGGGGTAAGAGGGTACTATGGAGAGGAGGATCAGTCACATGTTTACTGGAATGTTAGGCTGGTGTGAGAAGACTGGACACAGCATCGCTGCCCTGCCCATGTTTTAACACACTACGTGCACACTCATATCTGGAGGGGCAGGAGAGGAATGGAACAGTGCAGCTAAATAGAGAAGATCTTCCATAGACTGTAACTATTAATGGTGACTAGTCTAGCACCCTATCTCACCTTCTTCTCCCCCTTTCTCTCTGTCCTCCCTCGTTCCCATTTTCTCTGTGAGGGAAAAGCTCTATTCGTCTTCTTTACTGGATTTAATCACTACCTTTCCCCCTCCATCTTTTTTCTCAATGTAGCTATCCCCCACTCTCTCTCCTGCCCTCTCTCTCTCTCTCTCTCTCTCTCTCTCTCTCTCTCTCTCTCTCTCTCTCTCTCTCTCTCTCTCTCTCTCTCTCTCTCTCTCTCTCTCTCTCTCTCCTGACCTCCCGGTCTCTTTCTCTCTCTTCCTCCTCCTCTCACTCTCTCCCCTGCCCCCTTCCTTCCCTGCTATATGTTTGAAGTGCCCTTGTGACGCCAGGCAGGCAGAGTCTTTGAGGAGCCCAGTGAATTTGTTATATAATTGTCTCTTATGTAACAGTGAATTAGGTAGGAGATATGTTTAAAACGAGGGTAGCAGTGGGGATTGGTGGCGCACGGCGGTGGGAGTGTTCTAGCTTCACTGTGTGTGTGTGTGTTAGAGAGAGTGGGCAAGAGAGACAGAGAGGGATGTTTATGTAGGCAAAATGGTAACAATATGAGTCAGGACTGTACTGAAGGACAAGTCAAATCAAATCAAATTGTATTGGCCACATGCGCCGAATACAACAGGTGTAGACATTACAGTGACATGCTTACATACAAGCCCTTAACCAACAATGTAGTAAAAAAAAAAAAAAGTGTTAAGTAAAAAATAGATAAGTAAAAAATAAAAAATAGCAAATAATTAAAGAGCAGCAGTAAGGAGGCTATATACAGGAGTCAATGTGAGGGGGAACCGGTTAGTCGAGGTAATTGAGGTAATATGTACATGTGGGTAGAGTTAAAGTGACTATGCATAAATAATAAACAGAGTAGCAGCAGCGTAAAAGAGTGGGATGGGGTGGGGTGGGGGGGCAATGCAAATAGTCCGGGTAGCCATGATTAGCTGTTCAGGAGTCTTATGGCTTGGGGGTATAAGCTGTTAAGGAGTCTTTGATAATTTTTAGGGCCTTCCTCTGACACCGCCTGGTATAGAGGTCCTGGATGGGCCGTACGCACTACCCTCTGTAGTGCCTTGCAGTCGGAAGCCAGCAGTTGCCATACCAGGCAGTAATGCAACCAGTCAGGATGCTCTCGATGGTGCAGCTGTAGAACCTTTTGAGGATCTGAGGACCCATGCCAAATATTTTCAGTCTCCTGAGGGGGAATAGGCTTTGTCGTGCCCTCTTCACGACTGTCTTGGTGTGTTTGGACCATGATAGTTTGTTGGTGATGTGGACACCAAGGAACTTGAAGCTCTCAACCTGTTCCACTACAGCCCTGTCGATGAGAATGGGGGCGTGCTCAGTCCTCTTTTTTTTCCTGTAGTCCACAATCATCTCCTTTGTCTTGATCACGTTGAGGGAGAGGTTGTTATCCTGGCACCACATGGCCAGGTCTCTGACCTCCTCCCTATAGGCTGTCTCACCGTTGTCGGTGATCAGGCCTACCACTGTTGTGTCTTCGGCAAACTTAATGATGGTGTTGGAGTCGTGCCTGGCCATGCAGTCATGGGTGAACAGGGAGTACAGGAGGGGACTGAGCACGCACCCATGAGGGGCCCCAGTGTTGAGGATCAGCGTGCCAGATGTGTTGTTACCTACCCTTCCCACCTGGGGGCGGCGCGTTAGGAAGTCCAGGATCCAGTTGCAGAGGGAAGTGTTTAGTCCCAGGGTCGTTAGCTTAGTGATGAGCTTTGAACGATGAGCTGTAGTCAATTAATAGCATTCTCACGTAGGTGTTCCTCTTGTCCAGGTGGGAAAGAGTAGTGTGGAGTGCAATAGAGATTGCGTCATCTGTGGATCTGTTGGGGTGGTATGCAAATTGGAATGGGTCTAGGGTTTATGGGATAATGGTGTTGATGTGAGCCATGACCAGCCTTTCAAAGCACTTCATGGCTACAGATGTGAGTGCTACGGGTCGGTAGTCATTTAGGCAGGTTATCTTAGTGTTCTTGGGCACAGGGACTATGGTGGTCTGCTTGAAACATGTTGGTATTACAGACTCAGTCAGGGACATGTTGAAAATATCAGTGAAGACACTTGCCAGTTGGTCAGCGCATGCTCGGAGTACACATC